AAGGTGCTCAGGGGGCCCTCCAAAGGCTGGTAGCAGGGAGATTTCAGGAGGCCAGGGTGTCTGGCAGCAGCACAAGGGCTTCTGTGGGAGGCTGACTTCTTTTTGTTTTGTTTTGTTTTTTGAGACAGTATCTTGCTCTGGTCACCCAGGCTGAAGTGCAATAGACCCATCTCAGCTCACTGCAACTGCCGCCTCCCGGGTTCAAGCAGTTCTCCTGCCTCAGCCTCGCAAATAGCTGGGACTACAGGCGCCCGCCACCATGCCTGGCTAATTTTTATATTTTTAGTAGAGATGGGGTTTCACCATGTTGGCCAGGCTGGTCCTGAACTCCTGACCTCATGTGGTCTGCCCGCCTCAGTCTCCCCAAGTGCTGGAATTACCATCATGAGCCAGGAACCCAGCTTGGGAGACTGACCTCTAAGAGGCCCTCCAGTCCACCTCCTAGGATTCAAGCCCTGCTGTAATCCCCTCCCACTGACAGCAGCCTGGCAGGTGACATGCTTCTAACCAACAGCAGAGACAGGCCATCGCCACCAAATCATGCTGTACACAGCCAGGACCAACCTCATGGTGCCGCACCATCCTGTGCCCTCTGCTCAGAATGATGACAGAGCTGCCATATGGAGAAGTCCACGAGCCAGAAACCTAGGGCCAGTTCAGGCCAGCAGCCACAGCGTGAGCTTGTAGGTGGATCGCCCCAGCCCCGCCTTGGGATGAGGGCTTGGCCTCAGCCAGCAGCTTGAGTGGAGCCCTGTGGGAGCTGGGAGGAGGCCCCTGCTAAGCCACACCCACATTCCTGGCCCCCAGAAACTGCGACCAAGACTGTTCCTGTACACCATGACGCTTTAGGGTGAACTCGGCGTTCGTGACTCACGTGGGCCCGCCCTGCCTGCCCGAGTCTGTGACAGACCCGTACCTCCGCACTTCTGCCCAAGGGGTGGGGTCCTCTGGAAACCCAGCCCGCGTTTTCTGAGGAGCGCAGCCAGCGCTGTCAGCCGTCACCGCTCTCAAAACCGCATCTGGGGCCACTGCGGAATGCCACGCGCCCCCATGTTCATGTTCACCACAAGGACTGGGTTCCAGAGGCCTGGCAGGGGGTGACCGGGACCCCGTTGGGCAGAGCTGTCCCCTCTCAGCCTCCACAAAGCAGCGAGGATCCCCTGGTGTGGACATCACACTTCCTCGGTGCCCTGCTATTGATATCCTTGCCTGAAGACCTTACCCAGCCATTAGTGCCCTCCAAGGAGTGGAGGGATGAGCGGGGCCCTCAGTTATTATTATGCGGTTGGCATCCTGCCCCTCCCCTCGTTTAATGCCTCCAGCCATCCTCTGCGGTAGATGCTGCTGTGCCCATTTCAGACGGGAACATGAAGGCCATCCTGCAGCTACGAAGCAGCAGAACAGGTCTGCATTCCACATCCCACCACACACAAAGTGCCAGGCCAGGCAGCAGGCGCCAGGAATACCCTACACAGTCAGCGTCTTTGCTGGAACCTCAGCTATGGAGTCTGAGGGTGGCTTTTCCTGAAAACTTTATGAAGTGTGTTTGTTTCCAAGTGGCTTGGGGTCCCATCCACGCATTAAAATGCAAACAGCACAAATAAAGACAAAAATCCCTTGGGTTGGTTGGTTGGTTTTTTTTTTTTTTTGAGAGAGGGTTGCCCTGGCTGGAGTGCAGTGGTGTAATCTCGGCTCATTACAACCTCCGCTTCCTGGGTTCAAGTGATTCTCACGCCTCAGCCTCCTGAGTAGCTGGGACTATAGGCATGCACCACCACACCTGGCTAATTTCTGTATTTGTAGTAGAGATGAGGTTTCCCCATGTTGGCCAGGCTGGTCTTGAACTCCTGGCCTCAAGTGATCCACCTGCCTCCGCCTCGCAGAATGCTGGGACTACAGGCATAAGCCACTGTGTCTGGCCAGGATCCTTAAATGTACAATTATATGCTGGCAGGTGATCAAATAGGCATGCTTCTCCCCCGAAACCAACCAAGGCTCAAAGTAGAAGCCAACACACCAAAATGCCAAGCACTTTCAGTTTGCCAGGTACTGAGACCTGACTTCTCCTAGCAGACCTTTCAGATTTGCCTCTGTGGAAAACAAAAGGTCCGTGCAATCTAGCCAGGCAGGTGACTCACGCCTGTAATCCCAGCACTTTGCGAGGCCGCGGTGGGTGGATCATTTGAGGTCAGGAGTTTGAGACCAGCCTGGCCAACATGGTGAAATCCTGTCTCTACTAAAAATACAAAATTAGCCAGATGTGGTGGCAGGCACCTGTAGTCCCAGCTACTCAGGAGGCTGAGGCAGAATCACTTGAACCCAGGAGGCGGAGGCTGCAGTGAGCCGAGATCATGCTGCTGAGTTCCAGCCTGGGCAACAGAACAAGGCTCCATCTCAAAAACCAAATTAGGCTGGGCATGGTGGCTCACGCCTGTAATCCCAGCACTTTGGGAGGCCAAAGTGGGCAGATCACATGGTGACACCCGTCTCCACTAAAAAAAAAAATAATACAAAAATTGGCCAGGTGTGGTGGCTCACGTTTGTTAATCCCAGCATTTCAGGAGGACAAGGTGGGCGGACAAGTAGTTTGAGACCAGCCTGGCCAACACAGTGAAACCCCAATACATTTATAAAATGTATTTTATATTTTGCAATAACACAAAACTTAGTTGGGCATGTTGACTGGCATCTGTAATCCCAGCCACTCGGGGCTGAGGCAGCAGAATCCCTTGAAACCAGAAGACAGAGGTAGCAGTAAACCAGGATCGTGCCACTGTACTCGATCCCGGGCAAAGAGTCAAACTCCATCTCAAATTTCTAAAAAATTATTTAAATAAACGAAAGGTCCTGAAACCCATCAATTAATCGTAAGAGCCACCTCCACAGGTCCAGAAAGCCAAGGCTGGGCCTTGGGCTCGGGCAGAGGCTGCTAACTCCTGGGAAGCCCCACTGGCATCTGCCTACCACAGGGATGGAGGAGTCAGCAACTTGGCAGCAGAACTGCTGAAAGAGAACCCGAAGGACAGGTTCCCGACAGGCCAGCAGGAAACAAGAACAGCGTCACAATACATGGAAAACCTCGGGGGAGGTGGGATGACAGCCCTGATAAGGTGACCCCAGCCGCGTGTGGAAAGACGATGACTCCCTGACGGGACGAGATAGCCATCCGTGTGGGACTGTAAAGAATTCATCCTGCTGGGCAAACAATTTAGTTCTGACACTTCCTGGTTCCACTACAAGAGTCAGGAATAGACAACTCAATCCTAGCCCATGGGTTATTTGTAACACTCATAAATACCAGATTACGTCAACAGCAGTGAAGAGGCAAGAACTCAAGTCTGAAGATTTGATTTCCCCGTTACTTAAGAGCATTCCAGGCCAGGCGCAGTGGCTCATGCCTGTAATCCCAGCACTTTGGGAGGCCAAGGTGGGTGGATCACGAGGTCAAGAGATCGAGACCATCCTGGTCAACATGGTGAAACCCTGTCTCTACTAAAAATACAAAAAATTAGCTGGGCATGGTGGTGCGCACCTGGAGTCCCAGCTACTCGGGAGGCTGAGGCAGGAGAATTGCCTGAACCCAGGAGGCAGAGGTTTCGGTGAGCCGAGATCGCGCCATTGCACTCCAGCCCAGTTAACAAGAGTGAAACTTCGTCTCAAAAAAAAAAAGCATTCCAAGAATTTTGGCCAGGTACAGTGGCTCACCCCTGTAATCCCAGCACTTTGGGAGCCGAAAGACGCAAGATACACTCAGCCCCTGCCAGGCCTCCAGGTTCATCCACCACAGCCATCAGCCTGAAGTCCAGAATCTCATCTGAATCCGCTCCCTTGTGGATGAGGCTCCTCAGACAGCTCCTGTGTTGAATCTCTTTCCATGTAAAGACTGTCCCCACCCCAGCCCCCCCCGCCCGCCCACACCTTCAGCGCACGCACACACACCCACACCAAAGGGCAGCGACAGAGCTAGGATGCCTGCCGCAGACACTCCCAGGAGTCCCTGGCCCATTAGTCTGAGCTCCCGATGGGCACACGTCACCTGGCAGTCCCCCAACTGCACCCGACGACGCCCAGCCTCACGCCTCCAGGCTTCCTGGCTCGTGGCTCCACCTCTGAATTATCCTTCCTTTTCACGAAAAGCGGCCTGTGCAGCTATAGTGTCATCTCCCTGCTTCCTGCTGGTAGGAACTGGAGGGTTCAGGGCCCCGTGAATTTGTAGTGCGTGGCCCTTTCAGTCCAACCCGGAAGCAGCTTCTGCCCATGTAATTCTGTGACTCTTCATAGGGTTCAGTTCGTTAGAAGCCATACCAGCAGAGCTTTTCAGAATAACTGTTTTGGGCTTCTGCAGAGAAGCAAGAAGCCCTGTTGCTGGAAAGAAAGGTTCTAACAGCCGGGCGCAGTGGCTCAAATCTGTAGTCCTAGCACTTTGGGAGGCTGAGACAGGTAGATCACTTGAGGTCAGTTTGAGACCAACCTGGCCAACATAGTGAAATCCCATCTCTACTAAACATACAAAAATTAGCTAGGCTCACGCTTGCAATCCCAGCACTTTGGGAGGCTGAGGCAGGCAGATCACCTGAGGCTGGGAGTTTGAGACCAGCCTGACCAACATGGAAAAATCCTGTCTCTACGAAAAATACAAAATTAGCTGGGCCTGGTGGCACATGCCTCTAACCCCAGCTATTCAGGAGGCTGAGGCAGGAGAATCACTTGAACCCGGGAGGCAGAGGTTGTGATGAGCCAAGATCATGCCACTGCACTCCAGCCTGGGCAAGAGTGAAACTCCATCTCAAAAATAAATTAAAAATAAAATAAAAATAAAGAAGGCCCCTTACCCAGTGTGTGTGTGTCTGGGGGGGGGGGGTGGGCAGGGCTCAATGATCACAATTCTCTTTCCAGCGCCTCGCCAAGTGCCACTCACTTGAGACACAAGACAGACGCAACTCTGACCCTCCAAACATGCCAGCTCTGATGGCAGCTGGCCCACCTGGCAACACCCTAAGTCAGTTAAAGAGGGTTCTTTTTATTTTTGCAATATCCATACAAAAGCAATAGAAACATAACAGTATAACAAGAAGTTTACAAATTAATATTTAAACAGAAAATCTGTACACATTATCATTTACAGCAATTTTACAGATAACTTAACTGATTGTTTTACAATGTTCTGCTGCCCCAACTCGAGTATTATAAAGAGCCTGACTAGTGCTATTTACAAGTACCAAATTAAGACTGTATAATTTACATAAAACCCATTAGTTTAACAGCTGAATTTAAGAATGTCTGACTTCAGAGCTCTGCTGTGACATATTGATAAAAGGCCAAAAATGAAGTCTCCATGAAGATATTAATGTGCCTGACTGAGAACACTTTGGTGCTTATAAAAGGAGCTGACTCTCAAGTGGTCCACGGATTACATGGTTAAATCCAAAACAATTCCTCTCACAAGCAGCAACTCAAGACCGTGGAAAGCCAGTTCAGTATACTTGTCTGCTCGTCCTGGAGGACGACAGGAACTAGGCAACTGCGCCTGCCGGAAGATTGCTTTACGTATAATGTTGCTTGGATTTAGCTCGTTACAATTTAAAAACATGCAAACTACACTCACTATACATAAAATTAACGTTTCTTAAGAAAGTAAGGCAAAAATAAAAATTCATCATGAAATAATGGACTACTAACAGAGACCACCAGGTACAAGTGCACACACATGCTTGGCGCCTGGCCTTCCTTCCACCGGGTCTGGGAGGAGCTGTCTCTCTTCCCGGCCGCCAGGTGGCAGTTAGCTCATGGCCGAGAAGTCTCTCAAGGGTTCAGTTAAACAAGCTTCCAAATCAAACTCGTCCTGCGCTTGACCGTCCATGTGTCTGACTTTGGTGGGTGTGCCAGAGTACATGTCCTGGGAAACAGAGCATGGGTCAGCGGACATTCACCTCACCCTGAAAACGGGCCACTTCCTACAGCCCACAGCTCATGTGGTGAATCACCTGACTTAATGCACAGCCTTAAATAAAGTGTACACCTCACATGCAACCGGAGAGATTTTATTCATGACACTGCGGAGAGAAACCATGTGCTATCTACAGACACTCAAGTTGGGTGTACACACATTTTATTTTTCTTTTGCAGACGGAGTCTGTTAACTCCTAGGCTCAAGCAATTTTTTCCCACCTCGGCCTCCCAATGTGCTGGGATTACACGCAGGAGTCACTAGTCACTACACCTGGCCGTGACACATTTTACCAGTACAGCAAGAATTCTAAAAGCCTAGAAAAAACCATGAATAGCAGCTGTCTCAGGACAGGAGGAGACAGTGTTCAAATTGATACCTTTTAAGATAGTTTTCTTTTCTCTTTTTTGAGATCAACCTGCTGTCACCCAGGCTGGAGGGGCAGTGGCTCAACGTCGGCTCTGCCACCTCCACCTCCCGAGTTCAAGCGATTCTCCTGCCTCACCCTCCTGAGTAGCTGAAATTACAGGCTTGAGCCACCACACCCAGCTAGTTTTTGTATTTTTAGTAGACATGGAGTTTCACCATCTTAGCCAGGCTGGTCTTGAATCTCTGACCTCACGTGATCCACTGGCCTCGGCCTCCCAAAGTGCTGGGATTTCAGGCATGAGCCCTGCACCCAGAGGACAGTTTTCTTTCGTTTTTGAGACACAGCCTGGGTCTGTTGCCCAGGCTGGAGTACAGTGGTGTGATCTGGGCTCACTGGAACCTCTGCTTCCTGGGTTCAAATGATTCTCCTGCCTGAGCCTCCCAAGTAGCTGGGATTACAGGTGCACCACCACACCCTGCTAATTTTTGTATTTTTAGTAGAGATGAGGTTTCACCACATTGCCAGGCTGGTTTTCAAACTCCTGACCTCAGGTGATCTGCCTGCCTCAGCCACCCAAAGTGTTGAAATTAGAGCCGTGAGCCACTGCAACCTCTGCCTCCCGGGTTCAAGTAATTCTCCTGCTTCAGCCCCTCCAGTAACTGGGACAATAGGTATGTATCACCACACTTGGCTAATTTTTTGTATTTTAGTAGAGACAGGGTTTCACCATGTCGGCCAGGATGACCTCAATCTTCCTGACCTTGTGATCTGCCCACCTCGGCCTCCCAAAATGTTGGGATCACAGGCGTGCGCCACTGCGCCCCGCCATCACTGATCTTTCTTTCTATGATCAATACAGTACAGGATCTTACAGAAAGCATGAGAATTTTGTAACAAATGTTTACATTTTCTAGTTTGTTTGTTTTTTTTTTTGTAGAGACGGGGTTTCACCATCCTGGCCAGGATGAACTCCTGACTTTGCAATCCACTTGCCTCGCCTCCCAAAGTGCTGGGATTACAGGACTGAGCCACCACGCCCAGCCCCTTTTCTACTTTTTAACCTGCTTTTTCACTTACTATGCTGGGTGTTTTCACATGCAATTAGGGCAGTCTTCTTTATAAAAATACTAAAGGTTGGCAGGGCACAGTAGCTCATGCCTGTAATCCTAGCACTTTGGAAGGCAAAGGTGGGCAGATCAGCCTGGCCAACATGGTGAAACCCCATCTCTACTAAAATACAAAAGTAGCTGCACACAACGGCAGGTGCCTGTAATCCCAACTACTTGGGAGGCTGAGATGAGAGAATTACTTGAACCTGGGAGACAGTGGTTGCAGTGAGCTGAGATCATGCCACTACACTCCAGCCTGGGCACCTAAGCAAGGCTCCACCACAAAAAAAAAAAAAAACCCATACACCATTAAAGGTATCTTTTTACTGTACATTGGTACACATGCAAGGTCTAGAAGAACATGCTCCCAGTCATTAACTACAGAATTGGACATGAGCCAATCTTGCACACTGCTTTGAACAAACGTATGTTTTCAAAACTGGCAAATGTAAAGAAAATCCCTAGGTACAATGCATCCCTCCCTTGTTGGAACCATTGGCAGCTGATCCCCACACCAGCACAAACTACATGGCCTACCCTTGAATGCTAGTGACAATGCATATGTAGATCCTAGACTCGGAGGAAAAAGCTTTTCTTTTCTTATTTTATTGTAGTGTATTGTAGGTATTTATTTTTTGAGAGAGGGTCTTCTCTGTCACCCAGGTTGGAGTGCAGTGGTGTGATCACAGCTCACTGCACCCTTGACCTCCTGGGCTACAGCAATCTTCCTGTGTCAGCTTAAGTAGGTGAGACTATAGGAACGCACCCCCATACCCAGCTAATTTATTTTTTGTAGAGACAGGGCCTGCATCTGTTGCCCACGCTGATCCTTAATTCCTGGGCTCAAGGGATCCTCCTGCCTCAGCCTCCCCAACTGCTGAGTTTATAGGTGTGAGCTGCCATGCCCAGCTTCTCTCTTTTTTTGGAGGGTCCAGGCCAGCACAAGGCTCCCACCTGTAATCCAGCACTTTGGGAGGCCAAGATGGGTGGATCATTTGAGGTCAGGAGTTGGAGACCAGCCTGGCCGACATGGTGAGACCCCCCCCATCTCTACTAAAAATACAAAACTTAGCCAGGTGTGGTGGCACACACCTGTGTTCCCAGTTACATGGGAGGCCGAGGCAGGAGAACTGCTTGAACCCAGGCGATGGGGGCTGCAGTGTGCTGAGATTGTGCCACTGCACTCCAGCCTGGGTGACAGAGTCTGTCCTGATCCTGAACCTCTGAGCTCAGGCAGTCCTCCTCCTTCAGCCTCCAGAGTAGATGAGACTGCACGCAGACATGTGCCACCACAGCTGGCTCCTTTGACTTCAAATAAATGAAAATGGTGAAACTGATTTGTTAGACTGAACTAAAAACCTTTAAGGTCATTACCTCAGAATTCAGTCTTATGATCCCTGACATTTTGATGGTGGGAGTCATCAAAGATAGAAGTCCTTTCCTGTGAGCATCAGAATCAAACTGCAGGTTTTTGTGGCTTTCTTTGAGACAGAGTTTTGCTCTTGTTGCCCAGGCTGCAGTGCAATGGCATGATCTCGGCTCACCGAAACCTCTGCCTCCCAGGTTCAAGTGACTGTCCCGCCTCAGCCTCCCAAGTAGCTGGGATTACAGGCTGTGCCACCACACCCAGCTAATTTTTGTATTTTTAGTAGAGACGGAGTTTCACTATGTTGGCCAGGTTGGTCTTGAATTCCTGACCTCAGGTGATCCGCCCGCCTTGGTCTCCCAAAGTGCTGGGATTACAGGCATGAGCCACTGCACCCAGCCCAAACTTCAGTTTTTTTGTTTGCTTTTGAGAAAGAGTCTCACTCTGTTGCCCAGGCTGGGCTGCAAGGGCGGTATCTCAGCTCACTGCAATCCCCACTTCTCAGGTTCAATCAATTGTCCCACCTCAGCCTCCTGAGTAGCTGGAACTACAGGCACCTGTCATCACGCTCAGCTATTATTTGTATTTTTGTAGAGACAGGTGATCTTCCCTGAGGTCAGGAGTTCAAGACTAGCCTGGCCAACACCTCAGCCTCCTAAAGTGCTGGGATTACAGGCATGAGCCACCACACCCAACCCAAACTTCAGTTTATAAGACAGTATGTGTTAACAATTCACCTGCAGATCCCAAGTGACTTATCCAAAGAAAGTACTTACAAAGTCATCCTGAGAGCTTGTCTGGGGCTCGGAGCTGCTTCCTGCAGGCTCAAGGTCTACAGGGTGTCTGTGAAATGAAATCCAACAGGCGTGTCAGGCGCTAGTTTAGCAAAGCCAGGAGACAGGGCGCAGATGAATTCTCTGCAGACAAACCCCACCCATGTGGTACAGCCACAACACTGACAGTGTCCCCTAGGCTCCCTGATCGTTCAGCTTTCAGTGACTATTTGCCAGATTCAACCCCAGCCCAGTCAGTGCAGCAGAGAGAAAGCCAACGGCAATGAGAAGCAGCAAAAAGATCTGCTGGGCTCACCACACAAGCATCCTTGGAAACAGAAGCACCGATGAGGCCAATTTTTGAGGGGAATAAACAAGCACTGTGATGAAACATACTTGCAGTATCACTAAGTTTTTCAAGTTTCTATTCAGAGAATGGGACAATGGCATCACACTGGAAAAAACCCAACCCACTTCTGTCACTTCCCTGACCAGGGAGACAGAGTGATCTTGTACCTCCCTTTGTCTGTGTGGGGCTTCTTCTCAGCTCCCCTCTGGTCCTGAGCCCCTCCCTTCCTCAGACACATTCTTCCAACAAACATTTGAATTTCTATTCTGTGCCGGGAAATTTACTAGAGACTAGCATTTTAAACTGAGAAGAAACCCCACACAGACAAAGGGAGGTATAAGATCACTCTATCTCCCTGGTCAGCCCATATTCATTCCCATGATGGAAGCGGAAGTTCAGGCCTGAGACATTTCTACTAGGCACAAGTTTAAAAGCCAACAGGGAAAGAAAACCTTCCTTAATTAAGACCTTTTATTTTCATGGTTGAACAGAAATGACTCAGATACTTTTTAGGATATTTTATACTTGAGAAAACCAAATTCCAGACACTGTTGTAATTTAGGGGAAAAACAACTACAACAACAAACAAACACTGTGTATTCCCAGATTGACGGTGCTCAATCCAGGAAGCAAACTCCTCCCCCGCCGCCCCCGACCCGGCACAGAACTCAGCACTAAGCTACAGCAGCTGCTCGGCTCCCCAGCTGCTGGGGGACCTGGCGTCGGAACCTCCTGTCCGAGTGATACACAGCTGCTACAGTGACTTCAGTCACCAATCAGAGAAACACACAATAAGAATGCAGTAAAGACATACATTTCTTGCAAATCACAGCCTTCTTCAGCTGGAGGATCCCAAAAATGCAAAGCCACCTTCCAGAGTTTGATCTGTTGGTCCCATGAACGTCGACTATACTTCTTAAATTTATTAGGGGTCTTGGGATGAATGCCAGGTTGTCGAAGGTGTCTGTGAGAGAAAGATTACTCTAGCACATGCCACTCACATTTCCACATGAGCTTGAAGATTAACCAAACTTTGAGATTAGTATTATTTTAAAAATTAGAGACCACCAGGCATGGTGGCTCACGGCTGTAATCCTAGCATTTTGAGAAGTCACGCCAAGATCACTTGAGCTCAGGAGAGTTCGAAAATGCCCTGGGCAACACACTGAGACCTCGTCTCTATTAAAAAAAAAAAAACCCAGCAGGGCCCAGGAAATCCCTTGAGTTCAAGAATCTGAGACCAGCCTGGCCAACATGATAAAAACTCAACTCTACTAAAAATACCAAAAATTAGCCAGGCACGGTGGCTCATGCCTGGAGTCCCAGCTACTCGGGAGGCTGAGGAAGGAGAACTGCTTGAACCTGGGAAGCAGAGGTTGTAGTGAGCCTAGATCATGCCACTGCACTCCAGTCCTGGCAACAGAGTGAAACTCCATCTCAAAACAAAAACAAAAAACAAACAGGCCAAGCGTGGTGGCTCATTTGAAGTCAAGAGTTTGAGACCAGCCTGGCCAATATGGCAAAACCTGGTCTCTACTAAAAATACAAAAATTAGCCAAGCGTAGTGGCGCTCGCCTGTAGTTCCAGCTACTCGGGAGGCTGAGGCAGGAAGATTACTTGAACCAGAGAGGCGGAAGTTGCGGTAAGCTGTGATTACAACACTGCATTCCAGCCTGGGTGACAGAGACCTGGTCTCAAAAACAAAAAACTTAATAAATAAATAAAATTAAAATGAGTTTCTACAAAATGAACAAAGTAATATATTAAAAAAGCACTAGCCACCAAGAACAGTGGCTCACACTTTTAATCCCAGTACTTTCGGAGGACTACTCGAGGCCAGGAGTTTAAGACCAGCCTGGGCAACATAGGGAGACTCCATCTCTACATAAAATTACAAATTTAGCCAGGTGTGGTGGCCTGCACCAGTAGAGTCAGCTACTCAGGAGGCTGAGGTAAGAGGACTGCTTGAGGCCAGGAGTTTAAGACTACAGTGAGCCATGATGGCTGGGTGAGGTGGCTCATGCCTGTGATCCCTGCATCTTGGGAGAGTGAGACAGGCAGATCATGAAGTCAGGAGTTCAAGACCAGCCTGACTAATATGGTGAAACCCGTCTTTACTAAAAATACAAAAATTAGGCCAGGCGCAGCCTGTAATCCCAGCACTTTGGGAGGCCGAGATGGGTGGATCATGAGGTCAGGAGTTCAAGACCAGTCTGGCCAACATGGTGAAAGCCCATCTCTATTTTTTAAATAAATAAATAAATAATACAAAAATTAGTCTGGCATGGTGGTGCATGCCTGTAGTCCAAGCTACTCAGGGGGCTGAGACAGCAGAATCACTTTAACACGTGAGGCAGAGGTGGCAGTAAGCCAAGATCATGCCATGGCACTCCAGCCTGGGTGACAGTGAAACTCTGTCTCAATAAAATAAAATATACAGTGAGTCATGACATGCCACTACACTTCAGCCTGGGTAACAGAGCAAGACTCAGTCAGGAGAAAAAAAAAGCACCATCACACTGAATCTTACCATTCCTTTGCCATCTATGTTCCACAAAAGTAAAAAAAAAAAATTTTTAAGAGACAAGCTCTCACACTCTGCAGCCCAGGCTAGAGTGCAGTAGTGTGATTACTGGTTCACTGTATGTGACCTTTCATTCCACCTTGGCCTCCCAAAGTGCTGGCGCCTGTCCCAGAGGAGTAAATGCTAGCCCATCCCACCAAAAGTTCAGGGAAACACTTCCACCTACTCTGTATCCTTTCGTGTCTGTGTTTGAGGAGGCAGGACAGGGCAAGGCCGCTTTTTCCAGCAGTTAGACTCTGACAGTCTTTAACTGGAACTTCATTTTTTCCCCAACATGTGTTTTAACAATGTAAGTCTGTAAGATTGCTGACCCCTAAGAAATAAAATGTTACCTAACTTTCGAAATCATGAAAAGGAGTGTTAGTTTTTCAGTTGCCACCCGTTCCTTATGTCATAACCCCAGTAAGCCTCTCATAAATAGCTCTTAGCAGGTGTGAACTGTCCCGGCAACTCTTTAAGAAATGCAATGCCACGCCACGTGCCACTGAGACAAGACTACCTCGGGACTTCTTTAATATAACGATCGTAGGCAATTGTGTTCTTCCCATAGTTGATCTGCTTCTGTCTCCTCATCAGGACACTTTCATCTGTCTCAAAGTCAGCCGGCATGGTAGACACAGACTCCTTTGAATCAGAACTGAAACAACAACATTAACAGAATAAGCCCTGTAATTAAGATCCCCACATACGGTAAGTCGAAAAAATGTCAAAACACAATAATGAAGGATTCATTCCACATTCCCAACCATACCTAAACGGCCCAGAGACTCTGTATCTACGAGAATTTAGTACACAAGAGACACAGTATTTCAAATCAATGAAGAATGTATTAATAAATTCTACTGCAACAATCAGCATTTCTGACAGTCACAACTTTTTTTAAAAAACAAATTACAGGTCTGTCAAGTTAGAAAAGAAATATTTATACAGCCTTTACCTTCCTGATGATGATTTTCTCTCTCTTCCAAAGTCATTTATGAGGAGTTTCCTTTTATATCTGAGAGCAAAATAAATATTGCTGTTTTTAAAAAAGGTATAAAATAAAGCAACCAGGTCTGAGGAAGCTCCACCCTGGCACCCTCAGGCACACCATCCTACGTAATGCAGAAGCTCCCTGGGCCAAAAGAAGCCCTTGCTAGGTTCAGTTTAAGTACTGAGATCCACACAACAAAATTGTATCCCCTTAACTTGGCAGCCTTAAATAAAGAAAAAGAAAACATAAATTCAAATAAATTTTTATTTTAAAAACACCAGTTACTAACAGAACCCGTATGCCTACTGGGCACTGCACCCCTTCTCCAATCTTGGAGACCAAGATTGCCCCCTTTTGTCTTGTTCCCCATGAACTTCATAAAGCATCTGCTTTTATTGCAGTCATTACTAGAATACAGCTTTGCAATAAAAAAAAAGCATGACGTCTTCAAAAGGAGTCTAGGGCAATCTAATGTTGAAACCACCAACTACCTTGAGCTACAAGTTCATGCAGTTATCTTTTTTTTTTGAGATGGAGTCTCACTCCATCACCCATGCTAGAGTATAGTAGCAGGACCGTGGCTCACAACAGCCTCTACTCCTGGGCTGAAGCAATCATCCCACTTCAGCCTCCCAAACAGCTAAGGACTCCAGGTACATGCCGCCATACCCATCTCCAAAAAAAAGTCTTCTTGAATCAGAACTGAAAAAACAACAGATTAACAGAATAAGCCGTGCAATTAAGATCACCCTGTTAAGATAAGAAAAAAAAATACAGACATATGTCTTTTTGGAGAGGAAAAAAAAATTTTTTGAGAAGAGGTCTCACTATGTTGCCCAGGCTGCCCTTGAACTCCTGAGCTCAAGCGATCTTCCCACCTCAGCCTCTCAAAAGTACTGAGATCAGGTCAGGCACGGTGGCTCACGCCTGTAATCCCAGCACTTTGGGAAGCTGAGGCGGGCGGATCACAAGGTCAGGAGTTCAAAAGTAGCCTGGCCAACACAGTGAAACCTCATCTCTACTAAAACTACAAAAATTAGCCAGGCATGGTGGCGGACGCCTGTAATCCCAGCTACCTGGGAGGATGAAGCAGGAGAACTGCTTGAATCCGGGAGGCAGAAGTTGCAGTGAGCCAAGACTGTGCCATTGCACTCCAGCCTGGGCAACAGAACAAGACTCCATCTCAAAAAAAAGAGTACTGAGATCAGGAGTGAGCCACCACACCTGGCCTGTCATGCAGGTATCTAAATGATGTCATGGATCACTGTGCCCTCCCTTCAAAGTCTAAAATCCACCCAAGTGTGCTGAGTTGTTCAGTGCAGTGGGAAGATCAGAAGGTAATGAAGTAATTTATCTCCTGTGTATCTAGAGTAGTCCTGGTTACACATACCATCCTTGCACAATTCAGAAATTGGTCCTACAAATCATTTTCTGTGGGGCCTCATTCCCTCCAGTACCCCAGATGAGAAAGACTGGTTTTAGGTATGATGAAAATCCACTTTTAAACCCTCACACTGCCAGTTTGTAGTCTTAAAGTATCGTAAGCTGACTTCTCATACCCCTCTTGCTGTCGGGAAGTAAGCTGGTCTGCTCCGTGATGGCTCACCCAAGGGCCAGGAGGTTAAATCACACAGGTCGCACTAAATCCACAGCTTTGGCGGGGCCCGGTGGCTCACTCCTGTAATCCCAGCACTTTGGAGGCCGAGGCAGGTGGATCACCCCAGGTCAGGAGTTTGAGACCAGCCTGGCCGACATGGTGAAACCCCACCTCTACTAAAAATATAAAAATCAGTTGACACGGTGGCATGCGCCTGTAACTTGGGAGGCTGAGGCAGGAGAATCTGAGAGGCAGAGGTTGCATTGACCTGAGATCGCAGCAATGCACCCCAGCATGGGCAACAAAGCAAGACTCTGTCTCAAAAAAATAAATAAATAGAAATAAAAGCCGCGGCTTTCCACCACAAAAGGTATGATCAGCAGAGTGGTCCAAAACAGGACAATTTTCAGGCACAGGCCCATGAGCTTTCTGAAGAACAAATAGGGTCCACCCACAGGACAGCCTAGGCAGGTGGAACCTGCCTGCATAAGAGCTGCAGAGAGTCCCCGACAAGGGGTGACCTGAGGGAACAAGCAGGCTACAGGCATGCAGAGCTGTTCTGAGACTTGTGAATGCAGCACAGATTACACAGGTTAAGTCAGAAACTCTGATTTATAGCTGAGAACGTCAAGGGCAACATAAATACAGCAATTCACTAAGACCTATGTAAACACAACTAAAAACACTGCTACTCACGTCTGTGAACTCCTAGTTCATTCTTCCCACCCAAGCAAACTGCCCACCCACACATTTTGATACCAGAAGAAATTACGAATAATTCCCTCAAATGTTCAATAGCCAATTCCCATATATCCCTGTCCCTCTGCAAAGGAGGCAGCCATAAATACCATCAGTGGCTGCCAAGATGAGAACGGGTAGTCTAGTTATGATTCCACAGCTGACACTCGACACATTTTCCTCACGAGACCCTGTTTGTTCATCAGCCAGTAGTCAGCTAAAATTACCTTGTAAAATACTTCAACTAGGCAGGGCATGGTGGCTTGCCCTATAATCCCAGCACTTTGGGAGGCCAAGGCAGGTAAATCACGAGGTCAAGACCATCCTGGCCAACATGGCAAACCCCATCTCTACTAAAAATATGAAAATTAGCTGGAAATGGTGGCACATGCCTGTAGTCCCAGCTACTCGGTCAGCTGGGGCAGGAGAATCAATCCCTTGAGCCTGGGGAGGCGGAGGTTGCAGTGAGCTGAGATCTCCCCACTGCACTCCAGCCTGGCAACAGAGCAAGATTCCACCTCAAAAAACAAAAAAAAGCTTCAACTAATTATGAGCTACATTTTTAAACTGGGTTTGAATACACCCAGTCCATGCAACTAGGTTTGAGTTATACATCTCATCAAAAGACACAGGACTGATAATATAGTCAAGGGAGATTAAACAATGGTGAAGGATGCATTATCTGAATGACAGTCAACAAAGAGGAAGTAACTTACAGTTAGTGAGAACTTGGACACACACAACAATCTCGTGTACAACTGCAAGAGGTTCACAGAATCCAAGCTCGAGACCTCTCCTGGGATGCTGGCACTTCTGAGCTGAGCGACCTGAGCCAGATGTCGGGCAGCACATTCCTCCATCTACTGTGCCGGGCTGTGTTGGCACAGCACACAGAGGTAGGTGCTAACAAAAGACTGTAGAAAGTTCCTCATGGTCTTCCAGCCCGCGATACCACCACTGTACACCTACTTCCACGCTCAGAAGGATTACCACCTAAGACAGTCGTCTTCAAACCTGAGAGCAGACTCACCTGGAGGGCTTTCACAGGATGGCCAGGCCACACCCCATCAGCAGGCCCAGGGAAGGGTCTGAGAACCCGTATTTCTAACAATTTCCCAGGAAACGTTGATGCCTTCGGTCTGGAGCCCAGACCTTTGAGAACCACTATTCTAAGACATAGGCAAAATGTAATGTGTGACTGAAAACACCACAGATTAACACTTCAAAGTGGTCCAAAATGTGTACCTTGCAATTTCTTTGTTAACTCTGGTCCTCATTTCATCTTCTTCAACTGCACTTGCCCAATCAGGACATCTGGAACGGGGTTTAGGGCCTTCAGGAGTGGTAAAGCTGCAACGGAACAAAAATGCTACTGAACCACGACTCAACCTTGTTTCCTTCCGAACAGTGTGTCAAGAAATATTCAAAGGCTGGTGGGGAACAGTGGCTGATGCCTGCAATACCATCACTTTGAAAAACTGAGGTAGGAAGATCACTTGAGCCCAGGAGTTCAAGACCAGCATGGGCAACATAGTGATACCTCATCTCTACCCCCTACCCAAAAAATTAAAAGGATTACATCAATGAACTATGTGTATCAAGTCATACGAAACTAGAGTTTAGCAGGAAAAAGGCAAACTAGATGGAGAAATAACATATCAGCTGAATCTTATCTACCCAGGGCTGTCTGAACAGAATGTAAGTCACGGAGTTCCTTGGCAGTGTGTCCACTGTGTTTGGGGTGTAATAAAACCAATTAAAATTTAGACTGATAAAGAAATTACGGCCCGGCGTGGTGGCTCAAGCCTGTAATCCCAGCTACTCAGGAGGCCGAGGCGGGTGGATCATGAGGTCAAGAGATCGAGACCATCCCGGTCAACATGGTGAAACCCCATCTCTACTAAAAATATAAAAAATTAGCTGGGCATGGTGGCGCGTGCCTGTAGTCCCAGCTACTCGGGAGGCTGAGGCAGGAGAATTGCCTGAACCCAGGAGGCGGAGGTTGTGGTGAGCCCAGATCGCGCCATTGCGCTCCAGCCTGGGTAACAAGAGCGAAACTCCGTCTCAAAAAAAAAAAAAGAAATGATGATTCCTTTTGAGTGTCTACAGTTCTGCAGTCCCGGGCTATCACGTGGCTAAAATCAAGTTATTTGGTTTATCTGTCGTAGATGTTTATAAAGTCAACTCATCAGCCATTAAGATGGAGTTTTTTTTTGGTTTTTTTTTTTTTGAGATGAAGTCTTGCTCTCTGTCACCTAGGCTAGAGTGCAGTAGTGCAATCTCAGTTCACCACAACCTCTGCTTCCCATGTTCAAGCGATTCTCCTGCCTCAGCCTCTTGAGTAGCTGGGATTACAGGCACCCACCACTGCACCCAGCTAATTTTTGTATTTTCTAGTAAAAACGAGGTTTCACCATCTGAGCCAGGCTGGTCTCAAACTCCCAACCTCATAATCCACCCACCTCAGCCTCCCAAAGTACTGGGACTACAGGCGTGAGCCACCATGCCCGGCCAAGATAGAGATTTACTTCCAACTTCTGCAATGTGTGTGGCAGTCAGAAAACCCCCACCTAGTTTTCAGCTTCAGCTCTGGTATTTCTATGTGCTAACCTTATCTGATTGATCCAACATCTAGCCTGATGCTGGAGCTCATGAATTTGACTCAGAAGTCTGGAGAATATAGTTTCCCATCTAGCATTTAATTTGTCACGTATGCCATTAGTCCCAGTTTGAAGTCATTACCAATGTCAGTGTTGACAAGATTGTGACAATATTGCCTTTCATAAAGCTGAGGACTAAAGAATTCCATCATTCCAACAAAGCCTGAGTTTCACAGACTGTGGGCACGTCTAGACAGAGAGATGTGCATGCTTGATGATGCAGAGAAACTACTCACTTCCACCAACCTCATGCTCCCCCTGGCTGGCCATACAGAGAGATTTGCGGTCATACTGAGAAGGCTCTGCAAGATGAATTTCCAAGTGAAGCTCACTATCTCAGGTGGGTGTATCTGCTGTATAGTTCCAAGCCTGTATCCGTATCATAAAAGTGGAGGTCTGGCATTCTTCCAGGTTACATGGCCAGTATAGACTCCTCTATCTGAAGGGAGGCTGAGGCAGAAAACTCGTTGAACCCGGGAGGTGGAGGTTGCAAGATGTAAGAATTTTGCAGACACATCTATGCCGAACAGTAGGATCCTGCACTTGCCAAATGTCTGCCTCCTTCTGTTCTGCACTGATCCATTCTCTTTTTTTTTTTTTGAGATGGAGTTTCACTCTCATTCCCCAGGCTGGAGTGCAATGGCACAATCTCAGCTCACCACCTCTGCCTCCAGGGTTCAAGTGATTTTCCTGCCTGAGCCTCCCGAGTAGCTGCGATTACAGGCATGTGCCACCATGCCTGGCTAATTTTGTATTTTTAGTAGAGACAGGGTTTCTCCATGTTGGTCAGGCTGGTCTGAAACTCCCAACCTCAGGTGATCCACCCACCTCAGCCTACCAAAGTGCTGGGATTACAGACAAGAGCCACCACACCCAGACTGCATTAACCCATTCTAATTTCTATTAAGTGTGAGAATTATCTTCAGTTCTCTCTCCATTATCATTCATGATGAAATTACTGACCCACTGACTGAGAAATGACTGATGCTGAAGAAATGGTATTCTAATGGCGGGGCGGGCGGCTCACCTGAGGTCAGGAGTTCAAGACCAGCCTGGCCATCATGGTGAAACCCCATCTTTAAAAAAAAAAAAAAAAAAGGGAAGAAATGATATTCTATTGGTAAGGCTTATTACCAAATGTCTGATAATGAAGCAAGCTACCAGAAACTTCTCTAGGCCACCCCAGGAATGTTTTGATTTGACCACGGATTTAGCACACACTAAAATCACTGGGACTTTTGCAAAATTAAGCTACTTGTTTTATTTTGCCGGATATCATGGGAGAGTCTTTAACTAGTTCTGAATTATTTGTAAGTCTGAGTACTTCGTAGAATTATAAAGCTGGTACAGCTGACCCCTTCTCACCATGCTGCAAATATTTACTGAGATTGGGTATAGTGCTGAGGGATAACACTCTCCTGATTTATCCAATGCTGACTGTCTAGAGCAAATTGTATATTCTCTTTGTGAATGGTCCTGTAATGTGTATGAACACGTTTCTGGGTGCCTTAGAAGTTGTATTTTTAATGTGTGCTAATATGTGGTATTATACATTGTGAGAAGCAGTTTTGAATAAAAATGTTGAAACCTCATCTCCAAAATAAAATGGCCAGCCAGGCATGGTAGGGCAGGGCTGCAGTCCCAGATCTGTGGGAGGCCCAGGCAGCAGGGTCACCCTAGCCAGGAGGTCAAGGCTAGATGAGTCACGATCCTGGCACTGCACTCCAGTCTGGGCAACAGGGCAAGACCCTATCTCAAAACATAGAAATACAGTTGCAGGGGATGGTGGCTCATACTTGTAATCCCAGCACTTTGGGAGGCTGAGGTGGGTGGATCACCTCAGGTAAGGAGTTCCAGCTACTTGGGAGGCTGAGACAGGAGAATTGCTTGAACCCCAGAGGCAGAGGCTGCACTGCACCACTGCACTCCAGCCTGGAATGAGACTGTGCCACTGCACTCCAGCCTGCACAAGAGCGAGAAAGACTCCGTCTCAAAAAACTAAATGAAATAATGAATAATAGGTAACACAGAATAGCTAACATACACATTTAGCTTTAAGGTGCATGTAGTAATTCAGCATGTTACGTACACTACAGTTACAACGTGTACAGAGTATATGCTGGAGTCCTTGCTGCACTGGGCCTCCGTCTACTGGCAAAGCACCCCCATGCTTGGGTGAAACCAAATCCAGGAGCTCAATTCCATCTCAAGCTCAAGGAAGTCTTCAGTCCATATCAGAAATTTGCGGCCAGGTGCAGCGGCTCACGCCTGTAATCCTAGCACTTTGGGAGGCTGAGGCTGGCGACCTGCCCGAGCTCAGGAGTTCAAGACCAGCCAGGGCAAAATGGTGAAACCCCATCTCTACTAAAATACAAAAAATTAGCCGGGAGAGATATGGCATCTGTAATCCCTGCTACTGGGGAGGCTGAGGCAGGAGAATCGCTTGGACCCAGGAGGAAGTTGCAGTTAGCTGAGATCGAGCACTGCACTCCAAACTGGGGGACAGAGCAAGACCCCTAAAAAAAATTAAACAGATAAATAATAGTCTAGGCATGGTGGCTCACGCCTGTAATCCCAGCACTTTGGGAGGCAAAGGTAGGTGGATCACCTGAGGTCAGGAGTTCAAGACCAGCATGACCAACATGGTGAAACTCCGTTGCTGCTAAAAACACAAAAATTAGCTGGATGGGGTGGTGGGCAACTATAATCCCAGCTACTCAGGAGGCTGAGACAGAGAACTGCTTGAACTCGGGAGCCGGAAGTTGCAGTGAGCCAAGATTACGCCACTGCACTCCAGCCCAGGTGTCAGCGCAAAACTCCGTCTCAAAAATAAATAAATAAATAAATAAAGTAAGTAAGTAAGTAAATATAATCAGGAAATTTGAAAGCCTAAGGCTTGATACCCTAAATTCTGGCAGTTCAAATTGATGTTATCTGTTATTTATGTATCAGATATAAACTCACATTCTTATTTTTCCACCTCATTTTTCTGTTGATCACTACTGATATTAAAACTAGATATTGGGAGCCGCGGTGGCTCCGGCCAGTTGTCCTGGTGCTTGAGGAGGTGAGCCTATCAGTTCAAGGCCAACCTGAGCAACATAACAAGCTCTCATTAACCAAAAAAAAAAAAATAGCTACTGGGCCTGGTGCAGTAGCTCACACTTATAATCCCAGCACTTTGGGGGGCTGAGGTAGGCGGATCACAAGGTCAGGAGATTGAGACCATCCTGGCTAACACAGTGAAACCCAATCTCTAGTAAAAATACCAAAAATTAGCCAGGCATGGTGGCTCATGCCTAGAGTCCCAGCTACTCGGGAGGCTGAGGTAGGAGAATTGCTTGAACTTGGAAGGCCAAGGTTGCAGTGAGCCGAGATCACACCACTGCACTCCAGCCTGGGTGTCAGAGTCAGATTTCATCTCAAAACATAAATGAGTAGGGAGGGGAGGAACCGGGAAAAAATAAATTAAATAAGCAAATAAAATGAATAAAACCAGATACTAACTTTAACTACAAGTAGGCAGCACATTTTAGCTGCAAACCAAATGCTGTGCTTTTTAGAGGCAACTGCAGTAACAAATCTTATACTTATCATTTCTTCCCTCACAGTCACACAACTCAAAGCAACTTAAATTGGATTTCTAAAAGTAAATTTCCAGATTCTAAAACTGACAGAAAGGTATGAAATCAAATTAGGGAGTTAACTGGAAATTAAACTGACTCATTGAGGCTCATCCAGAATTGGACACAAGCACCCTCACTCGTGTATCAACAGCTTCAAGTCTGGGTGTCTCAGCATAAGTTCCCGAACTCCAGGGATAAATTAAAGAGTGTGTATGTGAATGAAGTAGATACAGTCACAATCTACCCTATCTCGGGACAACAAAGCCTGTTTTACACTCTAAGCTAACACCTTCCCAAGGGAGTACCTTCTAGATCTTACCCATCAGTGAGCTGGCTCTATTTGTCAGGTGCCTCCAAGCATTCTCCAGCGCAAACACCAACTGCAAAGGCCCTAGGACAGAAGCATTCCTACCGTTGGAGGAATGAGGATACCAAGAACTTCCATAACTCTAGAGCATTGTAAGGATTTCACTTTCTTTTTTTCCCCCGAAAAAAAATTTAATATGGAAGCTTCAGGAATTTGCGTGTCATCCTTGCGCAGGGGCCATGCTAACCTTCTCTGTAGCGCTCTAATTTTAGTATATGTGCTGCCGAATTTGAGTACTAACTTTTCTTTTTTTTTTGAGACAGAGTCTCACTCTGTCGCCCATGCTGGAGTGCAGTAGTATGTTCTCAGCTCACTGGAACCTCTGCCTCACTGGTTCAAGCGATTCTCTGCGTCAGCCTCCAGAGTAGCTGGGATTACAGGTGCCCGCCACCACATTCGGCTAGTTTTGTTTTGTTTTGTTTTGTTTTTAGGAGAAACGGGGATTCACCATGTTGGCCAGACTGGTTTGAATTCCTGACCTCATGCTGCAGCCATCTTGGCCTCCTGAAGTGCTGGGATTGCAGGCGTGAGCCACCGCAGCCAACCGGGATTTAACCTTTTTACCTTCAGCTAAATGAGAGCACTGGAGAGTTCAGAGCTCGACCTCAGTAAGGTTTGACTGCCTTCCCTTCATACAAGGCCCTTGGACCTCTTCTGTACCCAGCCCTAGTCTTTAAATATCATCTACACATACCGGTAACTCGTGCCCGAAGACGCCTCCCGATGTAGACTCCTGCTTACTAACCTCCCTGACATCTCCCTCTGATTCTCTAAGCACCTTCTCAGGCTCCCGAGTTCCCAGGCCTGGAGGCTCCAGCCCATCGTCTCTGTGTTGGCAAAGGGCCCCACAATCAAGTGTTCAGACCTACAGCTTCAGTTATTACTGCCTCTCCTCTATAAACCAAAAGGTGCCTGAGACAGTTCTCAGTTTAGTAATGTTAAGGAAGTGCCTGGAAAAACACAAAGTCACAGAAACAGTTTATAGTCTGTGCCTTTCTCCAAAGGGATAGTGAGGGCTTCAACATTTAAAGGAGAAAAATAGACCGGGCACAGTGGCCCACGCCTGTAATCACAGCACTTTGGGAGGCCGAGGCAGGCAGATCACAAGGTCAGGAGTTTGAGACTTGGCCTGGCCAACACGGTTAAACTCCGTCTTTACTAAAAATACAAAAATCAGCTAGGGGTGGTGGTGCACACCTGTAATCCCAGCTACTTGGGAGGCTGAGGCGGGAGAATTACTTGAATCCGGGAGGCGGAGGTTGCAGTGAGCCAAGACCTCACCATTGCACATTGTCTGGGCGACAGAGCAAGATTCCAACTCAAAAAGAAAATAAAGAAAAGTAGGTTGAAGAAGGGAGGAGAGCGCAGTAATCACGTGTTCCAAGAGAAAAGGAGCAGCTCCGGGAATAATCAATTATGTATTTCCGTAACGGCACTTAAGGTGAACAGAGTTTTAACCTTTCGTCTGCAGACACCTGCTCAGAACAAAAGGAAAGGCAAAGGCAGCTTCTTGCAGGACTCGGCCTTCAGCTCAGCTTTTTCCTCCTGGCGCAGCACGTTTGGGCCCGAGTTTTACCTTCCTCTCGGCCTCCCCCTCCCTTCAGCAGCTCCCCGGGTCTAGCCTTCCTAAGTCTGTCCTGAACCACGCAGTCCCCACCCTCACAGCCCCAAGTCCCCGTTCCCTTTCAGTAACAGCCGCAACGAGCCCCAGCGCCGGCCTGGCAGGGCCGGGCCGCCCCCGCACCCGTCCCCCCACGAGGATGCGTCCTTGGCATGCGGACCACCTCGCTCCATCCCCGTCCATACACAAAGCCCTAGGAAGGCTTCCTCCACGCAGCCCCGAAAAGCCCAGCGCCGGGACCGCCGGCGGCCCCCTACCGAGCATCAGCACTGCCCGGCGGCCCCCATACCCAGCATCAGCACTGCCCGGCGGCCCCCGTACCCAGCATCAGCACTGCCCGGCGGCGTCCCTACCCAGCAACAGCACTGCCCGGCGGCGTCCCTACCCAGCATCAGCACTGCCCGGCGGCGTCCCTACCCAGCATCAGCACTGCCCGGCGGCGTCCCTACCCAGCATCAGCACTGCCCGGCGGCGTCCCTACCCAGCATCAGCACTGCCCGGCGGCGTCCCTACCCAGCATCAGCACTGCCCGGCGGCGTCCCTACCCAGCATCAGCACTGCCCGGCGGCGTCCCTACCCAGCATCAGCACTGCCCGGCGGCCCCCCTACCCAGTATCAGCACTGCCCGGCGGCCCCCCTACCCAGCATCAGCACTGCCCGACGGCCCCCCTACCCAGCATCAGCACTGCCCGGCGGCCCCCCTACCCAGCATCAGCACTGCCCGGCGGCCCCCCTACCCAGCATCAGCACTGCCCGGCGGCCCCCCTACCCAGCATCAGCACTGCCCGGCGGCGTCCCTACCCAGCATCAGCACTGCCCGGCGGCCCCCCTACCCAGCATCAGCACTGCCCGGCGGCCCCAGTACCCAGCATCAGCACTGCCCGGCGGGCCCCCTACCCAGCATCAGCACTGCCCGGCGGGCCCCGTACTCAGCATCAGCACTGCCCGGCGGGCCCCCTACCCAGCATCAGCACTGCCCGGCGGCCCCCCTACCCAGCATCAGCACTGCCCGGCGGCCCCGGTACCCAGCATCAGCACTGCCCGGCGGCCCCCCTACCCAGCATCAGCACTGCCCGGCGGCCCCCCTACCCAGCATCAGCACTGCCCGGCGGCCCCAGTACCCAGCATCAGCACTGCCCGGCGGCCCCCCTACCCAGCATCAGCACTGCCCGGCGGGCCCCGTACTCAGCATCAGCACTGCCCGGCGGCCCCCCTACCCAGCATCAGCACTGCCCGGCGGGCCCCCTACCCAGCATCAGCACTGCCCGGCGGGCCCCGTACTCAGCATCAGCACTGCCCGGCGGCCCCCCTACCCAGCATCAGCACTGCCCGGCGGGCCCCGTACCCAGCATCAGCACTGCCCGGCGGGCCCCCTACCCAGCATCAGCACTGCCCGGCGGGCCCCCTACCCAGCATCAGCACTGCCCGGCGGGCCCCGTACTCAGCATCAGCACTGCCCGGCGGGCCCCGTACTCAGCATCAGCACTGCCCGGCGGGCCCCCTACCCAGCATCAGCACTGCCCGGCGGCCCCCCTACCCAGTATCAGCACTGCCCGGTGGCGTCCCTACCCAGCATCAGCACTGCCCGGCGGCCCCCCTACCCAGTATCAGCACTGCCCGGCGGCGTCCCTACCCAGCATCAGCACTGCCCGGCGGCCCCCCTACCCAGCATCAGCACTGCCCGGCGGGCCCCCTACCCAGCATCAGCACTGCCCGGCGGCCCCCCTACCCAGCATCAGCACTGCCCGGCGGCCCCGGTACCCAGCATCAGCACTGCCCGGCGGCCCCCCTACCCAGCATCAGCACTGCCCGGGCCCTCCCGCCGCTCGCACCTCCATCCTCCCGCAGGGTCACCCGCCGGCTCGCGCCACCTCGGACTCCGCTGCCCCGACTTCCGCGCGCTCTCGAAGCTCGTCCGAGACCCCGACCGCCCCCGGAGCACAGCACGGGCTGGACCGCCGCCGGCTCAGCTGCCCCCACCCTGGGCAGAAGCTTCCGGGGTGCTCCGGCGCCTCCCGGCCGCGCGGAAACAAAGGTGAAGGGACGCAGCGCGCCGACCCGACCAAGCCCACATCGCGAGAGCGCGGCGAGGTCCCGGAGCCCGCGGCCTCGACAAGGGCCCGCCGCGCCCCGACCCCCGGGTCCCGCGCCCACCTCTCGGGTCTGCGCTCGGCGCCGCCGTGCTCGGCCTCCTCGGCGTCCTCCGGCCTCCAGCGCCGGCTGTCGGCTCTGCGCTTCCGTCCGAGGCTCCATCGCGCGTGGGACGGCGGGCTGCGGGGAGGGACGCGGTCGGCGAGGCTCGGCAGGTCCAGGACCGCCGCACGACCCCCACCCCGCGGGGCACGCGCTCCCTCGGCCCCCTCGCAGCCCGGCCTCACCTGGCGTCGCCGTCGCAGCGGCTCTGGGACCTGGGCGGGCTTCGCGGGCGGCAGGCCATGGCGGCACGGGCCGGGCGCGCACGGTAGGGCAGGCCCCGGGCCGAGACAGCGAACAGTGCGCCCGCGCCGGCGATCACGGGCTCTCCGCGCCCCGCCCCCAACCGCCTTTATGTGGGCGCCAGGCCCCGCCCCTCGGCCTCCCGCGCGCGCGTCGGGCGAGACCATCGGGCCACGCCGCAGGGGTCCACCCCGGCTGCGCGCGCCTCGCGGGCCGACTGGAGCTGGGCCCAGGCGTTAGGATCGCGGGCCGCCAGGAGGCCCGACTGCCCGGCGCTCGGCTCGGTAGGCGGATGGGCGCCGCAGAATGAGGAGAGCCCTGAGGAAAAAATTGCCCCCCCACCCCTGACATTGAGGCGGCCGGCCTGCCGCGGGCCCTGGCGACGCAGATAGGTCGCGCCTTGGCGGGCGGGGCAGCTTTGGCGGGAGATTCCGCCGGGCGCTACGCGGCGCAGGTCGTGGGGGGAGGGCACGCGGCGCGTTTCTCAGCCTGGGTCGTAGCACATCTCCCATTGGTCCCGGCCTGGGTGGAGCGCGTCTCCGATTGGTCCATACACAGGTGGGGGCGTGTCTCCGCATTGGCGGGAACCGGGAACTCAGAACATGGAACCCGGAAGGCGCGGCCTGTGGCCGGTACTGGCTGCTCCCTACGGCCCCGTGCGCGCGGAGTATTATTTGAGCCGCTGAAAGTTTTGGAGTAACTTTTTAGGCAGCGACAGCTGACCACTACACTGAGTCCTACCGGGACCGCTGCCCCGGTCGTAAACCGCTAGGTTCCGTTGCCGCCGCCTCCCTGCCCGCCTGACGCTCCCATTCTCTGCCCGGAGGTGACGGCCTGAAGCATCCCGGGCTCAGCAGGGAGGCGCCGCCGGGGGCGAGGCCCTGCTGACCCGCACCGTGCGTCCCGCTTCCCCGCCGTCCCGGCTGCAGCTGGGCCCGCGGATCTGGCCGGATCGAACCCCGGCAGGGATTCACACACACCTGGGAACAGGTTCCCAGATTCCCGTTGGGGAAAACGTGAGGGATGCAGGGCAGAGTGGAACCGGCCCAAAGAGGGGGCGGTGCGGTCGGGTCCAGGAGGCTGAGCCCCGGGGATGTCCGGGGTGCCTCTAAGGCCCGGCACCTGCCGCCCTTTGGTGCGCCCACCGCCCCCCTCCTTTTGAACTCGAAAGGTCACCCTCAGACTAGGACGAACACCCTGTCCCCCGCCTCCCCCTGGCATCCCATAACCCTCAACACTGTAAACTAAAAATCCTAAGCCCCCAACAACTGAATGGACCCCGCTGTGGCCAAGGGGACACCGGTGGCAATAAGATACCAAATCATGAATAGCACCTAAGGTCATGCGGGGCAAGGGTTAGGTCACACGCCCAAGCTTAAACTGCTTTCTGCCACTCCGTTTTTTCCTTCTTCATTTTGAGACATAGTCTAGCTCTGTTGCCCAGGCCTCGGCTCACTGCAATCTCCGCCTCCCAGTTCAAGTGAGTCTCCTGCCTCAGCCTCCCAAGTAGCTGGGATCACAGCCATGTGCCACCACACCGGGTTAATGTTTTGTATTTTTAATAGAAACGGGGTTTCTCCATGTTGGTCAGGCTGGTCTCGAACTCCCGACCTCAGGTGATCTGCCCACCTCAGCTTCCCAAAGTGCTGGGATTACAGGCGTGAGCCAGCGCACCCAGCCCGTTTTTCTTTTCCTCTAGTAGCTCAACAAGCACCTTGAGCAGTACCCGATAGCCTGGCTAATGTGGTGAAACCCTGTCTCTACTGAAAATACAAGAATTAGCCGGGTGTGGTGGTGCACGCCTGTAATCCCAGCTACTCGGGGAGGCTACGGCGAAGAATCGCTTGAACCCAGTAGGCAGAGGTTGTACCGAGCTGAGATCAGGCCATTGCACTGAAGCCTGGGTGACAGAGCAAGACTCTGTCTCCAAAAAAAAAAAAAAAAAAAAAAAAGCAGTGGCTGGTATTCTTTTATGCATGCAAAATACCAGTGAAAGCGTGTAATGGAACAGGAGTTAATTACGTTTACAAGTCATGGACAGACTCTATATGTTCATTTCCTTATCATTGGGAGCATTCCGAGCTCAGAATTTTCCCAATGCAAAAAAAAGGCTCTGAAGAGCCGGACCTGGGAACCTGGGCAGTTCCCTGATCCAATTTTTGGTAAACACCTCAAGGATGTTAGTTACATGATGAAGACGTGGACAGTGTCCTGACTTGACCCTTCTTTGTTTTAAAAAGTATAAAAGATTGTTTAGCAGAAGCCGAGCTGAGCTTCGGTGGTGACTTGGTCTGGACTTGCGAAAACCCGTGCTGCTTTACTGCCGGTGTTGAAGTTTGTGAGCGTCTCTAGGTATCCTTGTAAATAAACTCTTTTCTCTATATATCTCGGCTGGTGTTTTTCTTCCCACGAATCTGCCTGAAAAGATTAGAAAATCCAAGCTTGGTACTGAGCAGTGCTCACACAAAATTGGCATAGTCGGCAGGATTCGGGGAGAAAGAGTGCATCATGCCTTTCTTTAAAAAAAAAAATGTTAAAACTGTTGTTAGTGAAATTCCTGGTTGGGAAGATACTGTGTTTGTTTCTGTTGCTCGTAATTGGGCCTCCGGCACTGGCCTAAGTGAAAATTGGGACGGCCGCCTTAGGACGGCTGATCCCGCACAGGTATGTGAAGTTTTGGACCTGGTGTCGGTAGATAAAGGAAAGGAGTTGGCTGCCATTAGTAGACGAGGCCGGATTTTGCTGTCTGCTTATAGGAAACAATACTTAGCTCGCCGAGCCCTTATACAGGAAAAATTGCAGTTAGAAAAAGAATTGGCTGATTTACAAGGCAAATTGTCTACGTTACAATGTCAGAATTTTATCCTTGGTGACCAGGCAAGAATGTATCAGGGAGTAGCCGAAAAGGCTGCTGTAAGGTGTGCACAGTATAAATATGGAAAACGAAAGGGGAAAGTGAATGCAAAGAAGGTGCATGCTGTCATTGCAACTGCTAAAGCTGATTGGGACCCTGATACTTGGGATGGTGACATTTGGGATGATACTGATGAGGAACCTGATTGGGATGAGCTAGATGAAGAAGCTAGGAAGTATCATCCCCCTCCTCTGCAAGCTAAGCCGCTAGCTCGTCGGCACCAGAAAACGGCGGCCGACGGGCGGGCAGAAACTTATTTAATACAAGAAGATTTTACACAGCAAGAAATACAGGATATTCTTTTTAAATTTACGCAGAAACCAAATGAGTCCTTGTTAGATTGGATGGTGCGTATAGCAGATATGGGGGCAGGAGGTATTAGAATTGACCATCAGGATGCTGGTAAATTTATCACATTCTCCACCAGCCCTACGGTGCAAACTGCTTTTAGAGACCATCAGCAGGCAGGAGGCAATGATGGAGTGGGGACGATGACTACCATGTTAGAGTTAGCTGCTAGAGGTTGCATAGGACAATATCCCTTAGAGTCAGCATGGCCAAGTGATGAGCGCCCTTGGTGTACATTACAGGATGGCATGAGGAAGTTAAAGAGAGAAGCCATGAAGACAGCTATTGCCTTGGGTCAGGCTGATACCTACTTAACCATCGGCTTAATGCCCACGCATCGTGGTTTGTTAATTAAGACAGCTCCCCCGCCTATAAGCACCTGATGATTACCTTGTTACAGAATGAGACTGGGAACCCTATTGATCGTATTTTAGAAAAGATAGTAGAGCTAAGAGATATAGGAGAGTGGAACCAGCCCTCAAGAGAGTCCAATCAAGAGGAGAAAACTAACAGAGTAATAGGAACGAAATGTTCCAAGCTTTATTAAAAGCTGGAATGAAGCCTGACAAATTAGATGGATTGCCAACTAGTGAGTTGTGGGCTCAGTATAAAGATAAAGTTAGAACTGTGAAGAAAGTGCAATTTGGCAATGATACAGAGAAGACAAAAATTAACCCTTTCTTTAGAACTACTGAAAAGACTGAAGCTAAAGAAACCCCCGAGGTTAAACAGATCCATCCTTGGGATGATGTGTTTGAAAGTAAATGACTTGTTAGCCAAGCCTCAGTATCAAGGAAATACTATGGCATTCGTCCTCATGTCCCCATAACAATTTTTTGGAAAAATGGGTCTATTACAAAAACTCGTGCTTTAGTGGATACTGGGACAGAGGCTTCCCTTGTTTATAGTACTCCAGCAAAATTCAAGGGTGTACATACTACTATGACCAGATTAGGAGGATCAGAAATTAGTGCTAAGCAAGTGGGTTTAGAAATAAAAATAGGACATCCTCCAAAAAGAAAATAAACTGTAACGATTGTGCCTATACCAGAGTACATCCTAGGGATGGGCATTCTACGGGGTATGACGTTACAGCGAGAAGATGGGAAATACAATTGTGCTATTGCTAAATTAACCTACAAGACCTTTCCTAATATTGTCATTGGAAAATTGTTGATAGAGCCTCTAACGTTACCAACCCCAACAAAAGTTATCCACTGCAAGCAATATAAAATAGCAGGTGGCCATAATGAAATTACTGACACTATTAAAAATGATGTAGAAGCTGAAGTAATGGTCCATGGAACAGTCCCATGTGGCCAGTTTGTAAATCTGATGGCTCCTGGCGCATGACTGTAGATTATAGAAATTTGAATGCTGCGACACCTCCATTGCATGCTGCTGTACCGGATACTATATACATCACTGAACAATCCAAAAGCACCCCGGTCAGTAGTATGTAGTAATAGACTTAGCTAATGCCTTTTTTACAATCCCAATCAACCCAGACCAATGGCAATACTTCGCTTTTACCTGGAATGGAAGGCAATACACCTTTACCAGACTACCACAGGGATATAAACATAGTCCCACTCTCTGTCATAAAATCATGGCTGAGCATTTAGATCAACAGAATTTTCCCAATGTGATCTTACACCATTATATTGATGATATTATGATTCAAGGCCATGATGAAATAACTATACAACAAGCACTACAATCTTTAACTGAACATTTGATCAGTAAAGGATAGAAGATTAATCCAACAAAAATACAGGGACCCAGTCAACATGTAAAATTTTTAGGACTATATTGGGATCATGGCTTACATGCCATTACCCCAAAAGCAAAGCAAAGAATATTAGATTTTCCCCCTCCCTCTACCAAAAAGGAGGCACAAAAATATATTAGCTTATTTAGATACTAGAGACATCATGTACCCCATTTGGGAATGCTATTACAACCACTTTTTAAAGTAACTAGGAAAAAATACCAATTTGAATGGACTCAAGATCAACAGGACGCTTTTGAGAGAACTAAAGAGGCGATCCAGCAAGCCTTAGATTTATGGCCCCTACAGTCAGGACCTGCTGAATTAATGACTAGTGTGGAAAGTGAACATGCTAATTGGAGTCTTTGGCAAAAGCAGAATGGTAAACGGGTTCCATTAGGATTTTGGTCTCGAAAATTGCCCCAATGTAAAAACCCATATACCCAGTTAGAACAACAATTATTAACTGCTTACTGGGCCTTGTCTGAAACAGAACATTTAACCACCGATAAAGAAATAATCTTACGCCCTCAAATTCCAATAATGCAGTGGGTACTTTCTGACCCGGTATCACATAAGATTGGACATGCCCAAGAATCCCATGTCATTAAATGGAAATGGTATAGACAAAATCGTGCTAAACCAGGCCCCACTGGAGTTTTGCAGCTACATGAAAAGGTTTTTTCTTGCCCAACTGATGAAGGTAATCATGATCAACTCGTTAAACATATTGACAGTAAACTTTGGGCTAATAAAGGATATGACTCTTTAAGTAAGGACCAGCAGAAGCACGCATGGTTTACAGATGGCTCTGCTAAGTACATAGGGGGAAAGCAGCACTGGAAAGCGATAGCGTATACCCCTGCTCTGGATTGTACACTAGAAGCTAGTGGAGCAAACGGCAGCAGCCAACTCGCCGAATTACACGCAGCCTGGCTGTGCCTGCAAAAGGAATATGGGGGAGAATGTCATGTGTCACAGATTCCTAGTCTGTATATATGAAATTATTAACCTGGATTGCACAATGGCAGCATGATAATTGGAAGATTCGTGACCGTGATTTATGGGGAAAGGACTTAATGGAATATATGGATTGTATTGCAAAGTACTAATGTTTCTGTTTCCCATGTAGACGCTCACGTGCCTACTGACTCTATTGTTAAATGTATTTACAATAAGAAGACTGACCAATTAACTAAAATTAGCTCTAATACTTACCCTGAAGATCATCCCAAGTGCGCAAAATGGGTGCACGAACACACTGGACACGCAGGAGCCAAAGCTATGTACAGGTGGGCGCAACAGAGAGGCATATACCTGCCATTAGATGTATGTAAAACCATCACAACACAGTGTCCAGTTTGTAACCAAGAACGGTTGCAAAATGTCCCCCCGTATCGTCACAGGAGAATTAGCTCGAGGAAAACAAGCGGCACAAATTTAGCAAATAGATTACGTAGGGCCACTCCCCATTTCTAAAGGGTGCGCTTACATATGCACTATTGTGGATACTTATTCTGCTGTGCTTATTAGGTGTCCCTATAAACGGGCCACACAACAAAATACTCTGAAAACCTTAGATTACATTATTTTATATTATGGAGTGCCATTACAAATACAAAGTGACAACGGATCTCATTTTAAAGGTAAGTTAATTACTGATTACTGTGCTCAATATAATATAGAATGGACTTATCATATACCCTATTACCCACAAGCAGCAGGCCTCATTGAAAAGATGAATGAGTTATTAAAGGAAAAACTACAGAAATTAACCAATCCAATGTATTCAGGATGGAAAACCTTTTTATTACCAGCCTTACAACAACTTAATAATAGACCCCTAAACAGTGGCGAAACCCCATTGCAACGGATGATATATTCCTCTAATACAGTTGAGATCAGATCCCAAGTAACACATGAGCCTGTAACTATCTCCTGGTGGAGATTCCACCCAGATGCAATACAACCTGGGAATGCTACTAGTACTGCTGCAGGTTATGATTTATTTAACTACCCTGTAACTAAATTAAATAGCAAAACTCAACATGTAATACCCACTGGAATAGGTTTACAGTTACCTTCAGGATATTATGGACAAATAGCTGCTCGATCTAGTCTGGCACAAAAAGGAATGACAATCTTAGGGGGAATAATTGATGCAGATCATTACGGTGAAATCAAAGTACTTTGTTATAACCTTGGTGAAGAAGATATCATCTTGCCTAAAGGCCACCGAATAGCACAACTATTTATAATTCCAGTTTTACAAAACACAGTACGGGAATCACAAAGGTTCCCTCCAAAATCAGCTCATTTAGGATTTGGCAGTACTGATGAAAAGAAGCAAATATCAGGTCATGTTTGGGTACAAACATCTCCCCATAAACCATTACAAGCTGGAGAGAGAGTAGTACAAGGAAGAAATAACTGCGTATATGTCCTAATTCCCCCCGCTGATACTCCTATATTAGTACCTACTGATCATTTGTTTCATCGTGTACAGATTTGTGTACTCACAGGTATTATCGTTAGCACTCACGTCTGGATTGCTTGGACCATTTCCCCCGGACAAATCTTGTCTCACCAAAATACTTCCAGCAATGGACACATGATTCTACAGTGGGGATGGGTCAACTCCACAAAGTAAGAAGCCAAGACTCTTACAACTGTTCTGCTAATCAAGTTTGTCACCATACCAATCTTACTATTAGTGGAGACACCAACACTACACTTACCTATTAGATGGGGCAGAAACCTGCTCGAGGCATAATTTATAGTGATGATAGTATTACTATTAATGTCACTTCTAAAGTGAATATTTCCTGTTAACAAGATTTAACTACTATTCTATATACTAACATGTTTTCAAAAGCTATTTGGAGAAACCAATGGTCTTGTAATGAAACCACTACAGTATTTGCATTTAATACTAGTACATATCTCTGGTGTATTAATTCTAGTGCAATCAACAATAGAACCATATGGGCACAACATTTACATGTAATAATTCATAGAACCCCGACATACAGTCAACCTACTATTGTACGTATACCTCATGCTTGTACTAACACCACCTTTTTTGCACAGCAGTATCAATTACAATTAAATGTAACTTTCCCAAAATTACATCCCTGTGCTAGAGGAAGACGAGAATGGTGTGATACATTACTCAGCGGAGTAGGAACAGGTATTGCACTTGCTAATAGCTTTGATTTAGATAGCTTATCATACAAATTAAAAAATACTGGGAAAAATGCCCATTAGCTACTAGCCTTACTGCTAATTGGATCCCTACTGTAATAAGCCCATTAACCTCCAATCTTGCTTATCAAAAGACATTCTTAAAGATATTTAATGGAACTATAGTATCTACTACTAACATTACTGATCTATTTGCCTGGACAGCATGTTCTCTCCAATACTTAGTTAGTTACATACAAACACACAATCTACAACAGGAGTTACAATTAGGAAGAGGACGCTGCTCTGGATTTTTAATAATCTCCAAACAGCGCCATGCAGATATATGGGCAGAAGATCATAATCCCTTTTATTGTACCACCACATATCGTTATGGTATAATAACCTATTAGATACCCCAAAATACTACTATGCTATGTCCCTATCATGTGCTGCCAATGCCATACCCTTATTATTATTTGCACCCAGAATTTTATGGTGCCCACATTGACAATGGAAATATAACATATAAAATCAATGCTTGTGCTGTAACTACAAAAGGATTAGTAGGCACTGATTTATAACAGATGGAGCCATGTCTATTGCATTTTTCTGTTAATCACTGTATTTTTACCTTATTACCAGTAAGTGATTACACTGCCCTTTTTGAAGTACAGCCCCATACATTATGTATTGTGTCCAATCAATCTGAAGTATTGTCATATATGCAAGTTGATTTTCCATTTGTTAGATGTATTTATAATATCTCTATCTTTCCCTAGCATAATTCTACTATTTATTTAACCCCAATCATAGACTGAAAATATCACTTTCACCCCAATAAGCCTGCCCCAACCAAAGTTGGAAACCTATTTAAATCTAACTTTTATATTATATGAAAATAAAGCTTTAAATCGGACATTACAGAAAAGAGATCGACAATTAAGTGAATATAGACTACAAACCACCATAGTAAGTCATAAACTGCAGGACTCTTCCCATGCTATAGCGACAGATACTAATCATAACTGGTGAGATTGGGTATTTACACACTCATCAGTGACATAGATTCGTCCCACTGTTCATGACTGTATTCATTTTAATGATTAATACTATATGTAGCTATTACTGTTCTTTGTACTTATATCAACGCATTAAGAATTTATATGATGCATTTACTTACAACTATTATGTGTATAAGTCTGCCCATGCCTAGGGCCGAATTGTAATGGAACAGAAGGAGTTAATTATGTTTACAAGTCATGGACAGACTCTATATCTTCATTTCCTTATCATTGGGAGCATTCCGAGCTCAGAATTTTCCCAATGCAAAAAAAAAGGCTTTGAAGAGCCGGACCTGGGAACCTGGGCAGTTCCCTGATCCAATTTTTGGTAAACACCTCAAGGATGTTAGTTACATGATGAAGACATGGACAGTGTCCTGACCTGACCCTTCTTTGTTTTAAAAAGTATAAAAGATTGTTTAGCAGAAGCCGAGCTGAGCTTCGGTGGTGACTTGGTCTGGACTTGAGAAAACCCGTGCTGCTTTACTGCCGGTGTTGAAGTTTGTGAGCGTCTCTAGGTATCCTTGTAAATAAACTCTTTTTCTTTCCTTGTAAATAAACTCTCTTTCTTTTCTCTATATATCTCAGCTAGTGTTTTTCTTCCCACTAATCTGCCTGAAAAGATTAGAAAATCCAAGCTTGGTACTGAGCAGTGCTCACACAAAGCACCACACTGGAAAGAATCTGAAGCCACTGAGCACAGAAAACTCAAGTCCACTCGTCATATCTTTCAACAGGATTAGGTATACTACTTCCCCAAAAACCGTCCTGTGGGTAGAGAAGCAGAATGGGAAACAGCGGCCAGCATTCACCATTCCAATTGCTGGGGTGCTCCCCTGCGGGCCCAGTGCTGTCAGGAACCCCAGGTGCTTGGCTGGCCATTCTTGGGCCACCCTGATACACAGTGAGGTCAGAGACAGCCTGGCGTTCCTACAGACGCAGCTGCAAGCACAAGTCAACCCAAAGGGCTACTCACTCCTCGGCTACCCATGTGTCCCATCACATCCTGAATCTGGAAGCGGCCACAGCGGCAACCACAGTGACGTCCCCCCCAGGACGCGTCTCTGCAAGAGACTTTGGACCTGGAGGGATCAATTGGTTACTGCCCCGGCCAAGAAGTTAGTTTTATAAAGACTAACCGGCCGGGCGCGGTGGCTCACGCCTGTAATCCCAGCACTTTGGGAGGCCGAAGTGGGTGGATCACAAGGTCAAGAGATCGAGACCATCCTGGTCAACATGGTGAAACTCCGTCTCTACTAAAAATACAAAAAATTAGCTGGGCTCGGTGGCGCGTGCCTGTAATCCCAGCTACTCAGGAGGCTGAGGCAGGAGAATTGCCTGGACCCAGGAGGCGGAGGTTGCGGTGAGCCGAGATGGCGCCACTGCACTCCAGCCTGGGTAACAAGAGCAAAACTCTGCCTCAAAAAAAAAAAAAAAAAAAAACTAACTTCTTTTGTAGTAAAAACAGCAACCCACTGACCCTCTTTGGCAGCCCTTAAAACCCATGAGCACGGCTGGGTCTGGCTCCTGGCCACGGCCCCCGCTGCCTTCACCTTCTGAGTGCCCCAGGAAGCCTCCCAAATCCTGGGGGTCAGGCCACCTGAGTCCATCACCTCTGCTGGAATCAGCCATGCCCAGGGCAGCAGGTGTGAGCCACTCCAGTGGCCACACCTGTGTCAGGGCTGTGCCCTGGGGCCTGGACAACGCCTCCCCCTCCCCCTGAACGATCAGGAACCAGGCAAGACGCTCAACAGAGCCTCCACCATAGCAAGCATGCATACCCTTCTGAGCCCAGTAGGCCCTAGGGGACTGGGTAGCCTGTGCAGGACGCCTTGTGGGTTTGTGTTCTGGATGTCACTGTGACACTTTGGTCTTCAGCTCAAACCCCCACCCCTACCCAGGAGTCTGAGGCCTCTGCCTTCCCTGGACTTCTGGGGGCAGCAGAAGGCACCAAGGACAGGGTGAGAACCCCTGGGGGGACAGCCCCACCAATGAGGGCACTCTGGCCTGGCCTGCCACGCCACCCAGGAACGGCCCCCCAGTGCCAAAGCCACCAGGAGGCCCCACGGCTGCTCCCACACCGGAGCCATGCCCTGTTCTCCACCCCACCCTCGGGACATACCCAGGGATCTCCAGGCAGCCAGGGGCCAGCTCCAGGACAGGGTGGGAGAATGCTGATCTGGGTCTGGCATGTAAATGAGGGCCGGTTTGCTCCAGAGAATTAAGGCAAGTGGTCCAGGTGAGGACCACTGGAGCAGACCAGGGGTCTCCAAGGAATGGCCTCGGGGGCAAATGCTGCGTTGTGTGTGTGCAGTATCTGCCCCTACCTGCAGTAAGGGGACAGGAGGGACGCAAAGAGGAGGTGTCGAGGACTTGTCCCCTGGCTGCCGAGCAGGGTGGGGTGTGTTCATGAGGATTGCTTTTAACCCAAAGTCCTCAGCCTTCTGCAGACCCAGGGCAGAGGCGAGTTGCTACAGATCAAGTGCTTTAGGTAGAGCCCTTTGCCAGCTCAGAGGCCCAGCCACCCCCTCCCCACCCTGTGGCTGGGGGAACACAGAGTCACCAGGATCCTCAGGGCCCCAGCCCACTCAGCGTACGGTGCACACATCCAGGATACAGAAGCGTGCGCGGCAGGTGGGGCAGGGCACGCGGCTGGCTAGCCAGGTGTCGGGGCGCAGGGGGTCCTGGTGGCTAGCAAACCACCTGCCCATGCAAGTGAGGCACCACATGGGTCGGCAGTGGCACTGCTGGCACTCGCCCACTGCCGCCTCCTGGCAGGTCTTCACCAGCTTCACGCTGGCGCGCGTCTGCATGCAGCCTATGCAGGCTTCCAGCTCCTGCGGGCAGGCAGAGCGTCACAGGAGCCCAAGCAGACGCCCATGGGCACCCACCCATCTGCTGGGCCCTGGCCCCTACCTGGCTGCTGGGCACTGAGTAGGTGGGGTTGACCTCTACCACGGAGGCAAATGTCTCCAGGAACAGGTCGCCCAGGCTCTGGTGGATGACCACATGGGCCGCACTGCAGACGGGTGCCCGGAGCTTCTCACACAGCTCCCCGTACTCAGTGGAGTTCAGCCTGCAGGGAGGAGAGCTGCTGGGCCCTCTGCAGGGCAAAGGGGGAAGGGAGAGGGAGGCCACCCCCCCAAGGAATGACAAGGCAGCTGTTGCACCAGGACCAACCAGGAGAGGCGGCCCTAAGGCCAGAGCCCAGGGACCCAGTGCCAGATGGCCCAGCCTGGGCAGGGAGCAGACCAGGGAGCAAGGCAGCTGTCCAGTGTGTGGGCTGCACTGTCCCAAGTGCTCCCCAAGAATCTGGGGGAGGTGGCTCTGGGGAGAGTGGAAGGGAAGACCAAGCGTGCAGGGGGGCCTGAGGGAGGGCCCGTGACTGGGGGAGGTGTCTCTGGGGAGAGTGGAAGGGAAGACCAAGCGTGCAGGGGGCCTGAGGGAGGGCCCGTGACTGTTGTCACGCAGGCCAGCACCTCCCAGGGGTCGTGGTGCCAGAGCCTGGCTCTGACCTGACCTGTCCCCTCTGCGCCCCTCCTCAGCCACTCCGGCAGCACACTCCTACCGAAAGTCAAAGGCCTGTACTGCAGGGTTGGCACTGGCCACTCGGATGGTCAGGAGCTGCACGGGCAGGCTGGAGTCTGGCGAGAGCGCGTGCTGTCGGGACTCTGTCACAGTCAGGTGCACGTCCTGCTGCTGGGCCACATGTACTCGGTAGACAGTCACCTTCATTACCCACGTGTCTGTCACAATCACACGGGCACCTGGTGCGCCGGTGGCAAACTTGTCAATCTGCCGGAACTCAGTGTTGATGGAGGAGGCGACACCCTGCCAGCCCGACTGTGGGAGGGCGTAGAGCGCCAGGGTGCGTGCCAGTGGGTGGCAGGCCCACTGGTCACGGGACCAGTAGTAGATCAGGATGCAGGCGATGGAGGGGAGGGTCACAGCTAGCAGCAGGAAGAGCCGCCAGGCCTCGGGGGCCTGGCTGGGGGAGTGGAGCCACTTTTCTGAAGCCGCAAGGCGCATGCCCACGTAGTAGCCTGCAAAGGACAGGGCGAGCCTCAGGGGAATGTCGGGGACAAGGCCCCTGTCCACACTCCCACAGCGAGCCCATCCGAGGGCCACCGTGCATCCCTCTCTCATCCCCAGCCCTGGGCCTGGCCCTCTGCCCGGGTTCCAGGGCCTGGTCAGTTCCCCAGGTGAGTACACCTTACCCACAGAGAGCTTGCCCAGCCGGCGGGCTCTGTCACTGCCTGTAGCAATGGCAAAAAGATTTCTAATTTGCTGCTTTAGGTTCAAACAATATGTAAGTACTGAAAAACTACTAAAGCCTTTCTAGAAAGGGAGAAATAAACACAACAACCAGTTGTCCTCACGCAGACCTGACCCCTGGCCTGCCAGGACCTTGGTCTCTCAACCCCGATCCCTCTGATGAGGCTGAAAAACATGGCCCATCCCAGACTGAGAAGCTGTGTGCGAGACGGAAGCAAGTGTCAAAGAATGAGGGGCACGTCCAGAGGACACGGAGCCTGCTTCAGGGCCCTGCTGGCTGGATCCGGGACAATCTGAAGGTCCGAATGAGCTCTGGAGCTGGTGAGGAGCTGCAGCAGCAGGTTCCAGTTGGCACATCACAATAGCCCACATCTGGAGTAGGCCAGGTCACTGTGTTTCAAGGTAACATGATATATAACGATAGCTAACTGTTAAGCTTGAAAACTTTCCAACTAAGTTAAAAATAAAAGGAGCTTGATATCCAGCTGTGAGGCCAGTTGGGCTGTCTGCTCCAGGTGGGGCCACCATGAGTCACTTGCGGTCCCTCGTTGGTGAAGTGGGGCGCCCAGTCCCTCAAAGGCCTCTGGGGAGGGTGCAGCTGGAAGGGCTACAGAAACCCACCTAGTACCCTTGAGTGGTCTGGTCAGGGCCCCAGCCCGACTCAGCCCCATCCATCTCTCAGGTGGGGCCCCAGCCCATTGTCTCCATGAGGCAGACCTGGGCACCTCCACCCCACACCTGCCTCCAGCTCTCCTGGGCCCAGGCGGCTGCATCCTCATACCAGGATGAATGGTCACCCCTCTTGTGTCCCCAGAGCGGCAGACCTGGCCGGCCACTGGCCATCCGTCTTCCCAGAGCTGCGTATGCCCCTGTCCTCCTTGGAATCCCCCTCCAGACACTGCTCCCCCAACCTCCCACCTTTCCATCATCCAACCTGCTGAGAGAGGGACCTTCTAGAGGCCCAGCTAGCACCTGTCGGCACTCCGTCACAGTCAGGTGCACCTGGGCCCAGCCCAGCAGTGCTCGGACAACGAGCGTCCCACCTGCATACAGAGGCCCTCCCCAGCCTCCGCCCCTGGGGTGCCCCCAAACTGGAACTGCCTCCAAATCTGCCAACACCCACTTTCCAAGGCCTAGAGCAGTGCCACCCTCAACACAGCCTCTCCGACCCCTTGTTGAAATCAGTCAACCATTTCCTTCTGGCCACTGCCCCCAACCACGGTAAGCACAGGCTGCTCGGTCTTGTGACCCCCAGGCGTGTGGCGGTCCAGGACTTGAGGCCAGGTGGACCGGGGCATCACCTGCCCAAGGTTCTGAACTTGGGCTCCCGTCACCTGCAAGCCAGCGCCAGCGGCGCCCCTAAGCGCGCTCAGCCGACGCCGCGGTCCCTCCGGACTGGGGTACTGACACCTCTCCCCAGCTGCGGCCTCGGGGAGCCGCCGGGGGCCTCCTCCTGGCCTCCCAGCAAGCCCGGCGCGGGAGGGGACGCGGCCGGCCGGCCCGGGCAGCCTCACCGAGCGGCAGCAGCGAGTGGCACAGCAGCGTGGCGGCCGTGCGGCGCAGGTGGAAGGGCACGAAGGCGGCGTCCTCGCTGCCCAGCCAGCCCGACAGCAGGTTCTGCACCGTGAGCCCCGCCGCGTGGAACTCGTTGGGCGTGAACACGAAGCACACGGCGAAGACCAGATAGGCGAGAGGGAAGATCACCTCGGGGCTGTCCATCGCGCCGCCGCCGGGAAGCTGTCCGGCGAGGCCACTGTGCCCAGTCCCGGGCCTGTCGGTTGCGGGAGCGGCGGCCGCAGCCCCGCCACCCCGCCACCCCGCCACCCCGCCGCCCGCGGGGCGCTGTGGGAGACGGAGTCCCGCCGCCCGGCCGCTCGCAGGGTGCTCTGGGAGATGGAGTCCGGCCGCCCGCAGGGCACTCTGGGAGATGCAGTCCCCGTGAGGGTGCGGCCTCTTCGGGGCCGGCCCTGGAGGCGGCGCCGCACCTGGTCCCAATGCACAGCTGAGGAAACTTAGGCCTGAGCGAGCGGCTCTCAGGCCCTGGTCATGACGCCCCGCCCAGTAGCGTACGCTGCTGAGCCGGAGGTTCACCTGGCGACTGCGAGCCAGCGGTCCCAGCTTCAGATGCTCCCAACTTGTCCTCCATTCCGGAAACGAAACCGTCGGCGCACGAGGGGGCGGGGCCGGTGAGGCACGGCTCCTATTGGGCGCCCGCGTTGCTGCGGTCCCGCCCCCGGCTGCGTGCTGATTGGCTGCGTAGAGGCAACCGTCCGCGTTTGAAAGTCGGGCGCGCCGGCGGCCATCAAGGGCTGCGGTAGCGGCGGCGGCGGCGGCAGCCAGACTCGGTCCTCGGCGCGGAGCAGGCGCGGACCCCTCTTTCTTGGCGGTGGCGGCGCGGGCTCAGAGCCCGGCAACGGGCAGCCGGGCAGGTAGGCGAGCGGCCATACGGCCCTGGGAAGCTGGGGCTCCGGGGCGGGGGACCGCGAGGCTGTCCCGCCCCGCCCTCGGCCCTCGCACTCCCGCCCTCGCCGCCGCTCTCCCCGGGAAGGGTCCCCCACGGCTCCTCCCGGGGCCGCCACCGGAGCCCGTCCCGCGCCCTGTCATGGGACCCAGCCCTGGACTGACTGCCGGGCTGGGCCCCCTGGACGGTGGCCGGCGGAGACTGGAGCTGGGCCGAGCCCGACGGCGGAGCGAGCGCCCCGAGGTCCTTTGTTCTCCTCGACCCTCTCCTGCCTCTCGGCCGCGCACTCTGGCTCTCTGTTGGCTCCCAGTTCGCGGAGCCCCTCGTTGGTTTTTTGTCCCTTCGGGCCCCCGTCCTGGTGCCAACTCCAGCTGGGCCCCGACCGCTTCCACGCAGCCGCAGCCCTCTGTGCTCCCGAGTAGAATGAACGCACCCGCTTGGGGCCGGTCCCTTGTCTGCCCAGAGCCGCCCTCGTGGCTCCATAGTCAGTAAAAGCCCCGCCTGACCAGGCCTGGGCCTGCTGCTCTCCCGCGCTCCTCCAGGCCGTCGAAAGGCTTCCTCCGAGTCACTTTCTCCCTGAGTTCCAGGCTTGCGGGTCCCCCAGCGATCCAGCACCCCTTCCCCTGCGCTGTACCCGGTTGTTAAGGCCAAAAACCTAAGCGTCGTCGGGAAGTCCCATTTGTGCCAGTGGTCGGGCTCGGGTCTGGTCTGGCCTCTCCTCCTCGGGCAGAAGCCTGAGGTTTCCTTGCTTCCCTCCCCACCCACACAGAGCACCACAGTGGGCTTCTGAAGCCACAGCACCGACCTGGCCCGGCTGCCCCTCCTTCTCCAGGACCCTCCCTAACTTTGCTCTTCGAATCACAGCCTCCCAGGTGTCCACCATCACCAGGTGTCCGTGGGGTCCCTGCCCAGGTCGACACTCAGTTCTCTCTGGCAGCCTTTCTGCCTACGTTTTTTCTTAGACTGGGAACGCTGTAGGCAGAAAGGGTGGCAGGTGTGTGGGTGCCCAGCATGAAGCCCTGGAAGCTGGGCCTGACCGGGGGCCTGATGTAGATGCTCCTTGGCACCTGCTGCTCAGCTCTGGACTTCTCTTGTCCACGCGCCTCTCCCAGCTCCTGCTCTGGACCTTCACCCTCTCAGCCTGGTCTGGTCTTGCTCCCTAGCCTGGTGGGAGGGAGCAGAGCAGAGCCGCTGTCCTGCTTTTCTGCCCTCTGCTGCCTGGTGGTGCCTCACGCCACATGCAGAGGCCTGTGGGAAGACCACGGCTTCCTCTGGATCTTCTGGGCTTCTTATAGGCCAGGACTTTCCTGTCTCCTGACCTTTGCCTGACGAAGTAATATGGCAGTAGAGGTTCTGCAAGCCTGGTTTTTCCTTCTCACTGTCTCAGCCTGAAGGCCTTTAGCTCTTGGTCCCAGGAGGCAGCAGTGCTGCCCATGACTTTCCCTGCCAGGCTGGAGAGTGAGTCTCAGTCTGAGGCTTTCTCAGCCTCACTTGGCACAAGACACCTGGGGGAGGTGTCACCTCCAGAGTGATGAGCATGCCTCTGCAGGAAAGGGTTGTGCCCCCACAGCACTGTGGGGCAGCTGGCATGTCTGTCCAGAGAACGTGGTAGTGTTGTTCTTGCACTGACACGAACATGTTCTGCTTTTCCAGAATGAGTCTGCAAATCTTAAACAAAAATGTCAGCAGTGAGAAAAGTACAGAAAACTGCGACTTCCTGTTTTCACCCCTGGAAGTTACCGGAAGATCATCTGTTCTTTGTGAGTCACAGAAAGAAAATGTGCCACCCAAGAACCTGGCCAAAGCTATGAAGGTAAGTGTGACCTCTACCGTGTGTGGCTGGCCAGGTCGCCCTGGGTCCTGCTTTCCTGGTGACCTCTGAGCTGCTGAACACTGCCGGTGTGTCTGCGACAGCTGAACTAACAAACGGGCGCCCTCCCCCTCACTCCCCCCCGACAGGTGACTTTTCAGACACCTCTGCGGGATCCACAGACGCACAGGATTCTGAGTCCTAGCATGGCCAGCAAACTCGAGGCTCCTTTGGCTCAGGGTGACACCCTGGGACTGGAAAACTCTCACCCAGGGCGGACACAGAAGGACAAGTAAGTGTTGGCACTTCTGGGCGTAGTGCAGGTCACCGCTCTGTCCGACAGCTCTTGCAGGCACGCTCTGTCCCGTTGGCTGGATTTCTTCTGAAGGGTGCAGCATGTGGTCAGTTCACTAACAGAAAAGTCGATCATCAAATACTTGGAATAAGTTTTAACTTACTTTTTCTTTTATTTTTTTGAGACAGAGTTTTGCTCTTGTCACCCAGACTGGAGTGCAGTGGCGTGATCTCTGCTCACTGCAACCTCCATCTCCTGGGTTCAAGTGATTCTCCTTCCCAGCCTCCCCAGTAGCTGGGGTCACAGGCACCCACCACACCCAACTAACTGGTATGTTTTTTGGGTGTTTTGTTTTTGTTTTGTGGGGTTTTTTTTTGGAGACAGTCTCACTTTGTTGCCCAGGCCGGAGTGCAGGGGCATGATCTCGGCTCACTGCAACCTCTACCTCCCAGGTTCAAGAGATTGTTCTGCCTCAGCCTGAGTAATTGGGACTATAGGTGCACACAACCACGCCCAGCTAAGTTTTGTATTTTTAGTGGAGATGGGGTTTCACCATGTTGGCCAGGCTGGTCTTGAATCTTGACCTCAGGTGACCCACCTGCCTCAGCCTCCTAGAGTGCTGGGATTACAGGTGTGAGCGGCTCCGCCCAGCCCGTACTTTACATTTTTGCTGTGCCTCTGCCAACAGATTGGCCTCGATCTTTGCCTGTGTAATTTGATGAAACATCTTGACTCCATCTCCGGGAAGGGCGTTCCATAGTTTCATTTCTCTTGAATTCCACGCACCTTAGCCGCTGGAAAGAGCAGACAGACTTGTGGGCAAAGAAACCACATCGTGTGATCTGCCAGTCAGTCTGCATGGTCAGAGGGATCTGTCGGGTGAGGCCTGGCAATCTGCTGGCCGACCTGGCACTTACCTGCAAGCAGATGGCGGCAGCTTCTGTGTGTGCCTGGAAAGGGAGGAGCCTGGAGGCAGCTCTTGGCCCTGCGGCTGAACTTATCTGTCTGGGCAGCCGGGAATACCTCATCTGTATCCAGGCTGGGAAGGGACCCAGAGGCATGATTTTCTGCTGGTTTTTTGCTGATGTAAGCATCTAAAACTGTTGCTGCTGTTTTGTAATGGGGTCTTGTTCTGTCCCCCAGGCTGGAGTGCCGAGGCACTGTCTCAGCTCACTCTAGTCTCAGCCTCCTGGGGCCAAGCAGTCCTCCCGCCTTGGCCTCCTAAGTATCTGGCACTACAGTTCTGAGCCACCATACCTGGCCAAGTTTTAATTTTAATTTTCCATTTTTTAAGACGGAGTTTCACTCTTTTACCCAGGCTGGAGTGCAATGGTGTGATCTTAGCTCACTACAACCTCCGCCTCCTGGGTTCAAGCCATTCCCCTGCCTCAGCCTCCCAAGTAGCTGGAATTACAAGTATGTGCCACCACACCCAGCTAATTTTTTGTATTTTTATTAGAGATGGGGTTTCTCTATATTGGTCAGGCTGATCTTGAACTCCAGACCTCAGGTGATCCGCTGGCCTCTGCCTCCCAAAGTTCTGGGATTACAGGCATGAGCCACCACACCCAGCTAGCCCAAAACTTTAAAACAGATGTTAGGGCTGGTCCGAGTGCAGTGGTGTTTACAACTAACTGATCACAACCAGTTAGAGTTCTTTGTTCCTTCTCCACTCCCACTGCCTCACTGGACTAGCCTTTAAAATATATATATACATATATATACACACACATATAAAGAAAAAACAGATTTCAGATATGCAGAGAAAAGCATAAGGAACAGAATACCTCTAATGCTTGTCACCACCTAAGTGAGGTAAAATGTCACCAGAAACTGCGGGCAGCTTTTCCGGCATCCTTTTCTGGGTCCTGGGTCTGTCTCCTCTCCAGCCTGAGTCTGCAGTTTTTTCCGTGTCTGCTTGACACTTTTCAGCTGTGTTTTCTGCCCTTTTGAAATTTAGTCACACAAGGTGAGAATGAATCCTACGCTGATTTACAACGACCCCAAGGAGGAAGGGAGACCCAGCAGCAGAGAAGTCGCCTCCCAGCTGCCATGAATCTGATCCATCCCAGGGCCGAGGATGCCCTTGCCTCTGCCCTATGGCTTCCGGGCCACCCAGCAGCCTATGCAGGGCAGAGGGTGTGGAGGAGCCAGGAGAGGTTTGGGAGGGCGGCCCTGAGGAGCTCCAGCTAGAGTGACTCTGGGCTTGTGGCTGGGGCTTGGGTGTCCCGCCATATGGCTGTCGTCTCCTTTCTGAAACTCTGCTGAGGCCCACGTGGTGGTGGTTGTTGTGGCGCTCCCACGTTAGTGGGATGAGACCAGGAATAGCCGCTGGGTGCAGCTGCCCACGTATCATTCCAAGATAGCTTAGTGGCCTGGAGGGTCAGGTGGCCCAGCTGGCAGCTGGGCAGGAGAGCAGTTGTGAGCAGTCTGGTAGGTTCCTCACCTTCAGTTTCTCAGTTTTGACATCTTCAAACTTAGAGAAGTGTTGGAAGAGAAGGGCGTGTAACATGCACTGGTGCATGAACCTCCGTCTTCTGAGGGACCTGAAGGCTGGGGAGCAGGTAACGTGGCATTTGCGCCCTCTGTTGTAGTCCAGCCCCAGCTGTCGCCGCAGCTGCCGCACTTGGTAGGCAGCGAGTGCCGCAGGGACGGGGGTCCCTGGGAAGAAGTTCTCTGCACCTGTGGTGCTCCTCTGTAGCAGGCGGGTGCTGGGCCAGTGTGCCCACATCCCAGGGAGGCGTTGCAGAGGCCACTCAGGCCTTTCCGTGCCTGAAGGTGGCATCCTGCACCTCAGCCTTGCCCTTCAGAGGTTTAACTGTCCCTGGCCATAACACTGCCAGTCCCTGACTTGAAGGGGAAAGCAGATTAGTGCAGAAAACCCTTTGTCCACCACAGCCCTGCTGGCCGTCCAGGTTGGGCATGTCCTTGGGAGAGGTGTAAGGCAGAGGACAGGGCTGACTGAGCGTGCCCATTTCTGCCTGCAGCTGTTTTCCTGAGGACTGAAGTGTCACTGGGATGCTCTCAGGTCCCTTTGTGTTAGAATTCAGGGTCTTTAAGATGGTGCACACCCTTCAGTGATGAGGAGAAACACAGGCCGATATAATGATTTTATGACTTCACAGGCCAACAGCAGGCTGGAGGACATGCACACAGGGCTGGGCACAGCTGAGAGCATGGCAGGCGGCCTTGTCTGTTGAGGAGTAGGGTGGGGTCACCGGACACTGGTGGTCAGATGCTCGAATGGTCTTTTTACTAGAAGTGGTGGATGCCGGGCGCAGTGGCTCCCACTTGTGATCCCAGCACTTGGGGAGGCCGAGGCAGGCGGATCACCAAAAGTCAGGAGTTTGAGAACTGACTGGCCAACATGGTGAAACTCCATCTCTACTAAAAATACAAAATAATTAGCTGGTAGTAGGGGCAGGCGCCTTTAATCCCAGCTGCTTGGGAGGCTGAGGCAGGAGAATTGCTTGAACCCTGGAGGTGGAGGTTGCCGTGAGCCAAGATCACGCCACTGGACTCCAGCCTGGGCAACAAGAGTGACACTCTGTCCCAAAAATAGGTTTAAAAATGAAGGAAGTGGTGGGAAATTGGGGAGCAGTCTACCAGGTGGGAGAGATGCCTCCAAGCTTCTCTCTCTGGCATCAGCTTGAGGCAGATGGGTGAGGTGTCCCACATCTGACCCCAGGCAGCAGCTGTCTGGCCCCAGTGCTGCATCTGTGCTGCGGCACCTGGTGCAGACCCTGTGTATGGTAGCGAGCACTGTTTGGGTGGCAGAGGCTGCTGGAGGAGTCTGGGTCCAGCACCTGACAGGGTGTGTGATGAGCGCGGTTGAACAGACAGGCAGCCCAATGGCACCCCTGCAATTTGGAACCCTGTGTCTAGCCACCCAGCCCTCTGGCGGGGGTCAGCGGGGAAGTCACGTGGCTGTGTCCAGCCATTCCACAGGGAGTGGTCCCTGGGAGGACAGGAGGGAATCACATTGAGGAACTGGGGTGGGAAGTGGAGAACTGGAAGCTGTCCTGAGGGTGACTCAGTCATGCTTCTGGTGTAAGAGACCTACACCTGTGTTCAAAATGGATGCCATGGCCGCCTAACCTCACAGGCACTCACTGCTTCATGTTGACTCTGTTTTTAAAAGCCAACAGCTCATTAAGGCAGTGGATGCCAAAACTACTCATGGAATTATCCAGAAACCAGTGGAGGCTGACACCAAACCCCTGGGGGATGCAGGCCCAGCCTTTGGGGATGGCAGCTCCAGTGAACCTGGCCCGGGCGCCCTGGCTGACCTGGACTGCTCAAGCTCTCCCCAGAACCCAGGAAGTTCTGAAAACCAAATGGTGTCTCCAGGAAAACTGTCTGGCAGCCCTGAGCAAGCCTTGGAGGAAAATGTTCGTTCTTATTCCTTAGACAAGGGAACGACACCCACCTCTGAGCCCCTAGGAGACCATCCCAGGACAGAGTCCCAACACAGAGTGGAGCCTCTGCACAGAGCCGAGCAGGAATGCAGGCCTGGCGGGGTCTCTGTGCCCACAGCAGTGGCCACTTGGCCTCCTGGTGTGAACTCTGAGGAAGCAGTCGGAGGAGCGCCCCTTGTGGGTCTGCCTGGCGAGGCCCTGGCCTGCCCCGTGAGTGTGGGTACCCCCATGCCAGCAGATGGCACGCAGACCCTTACCTGTGCGCACACCTCTGCTCCTGAGAGCACAGCCCCAACCCTGAGTCCTCTGGAGGAAGCGGCTTCGGGTCAGATGGTCAGCTCCTCAAGGACTGAACCCATAAAACTTGAATTTGATTTCTCCGATGGCACCACCCCCGCGCTGGCTTCTCAGGGCTCTTTTCACCTCGACTGGGACAAGCTGGAGTACCCAAACTTCACCCCGTTCGGAGGTAGCACGAAGTCTAGTTGCAGAGAGGCCCAGCCTCCAGAAAGCCCCAAGACCAGGCTGGGCCAGCCGGCAGCTGAACCACGGAGTCCCATGGAGGAGCTGGGCTCCCATCTGAGCCAGTGAGTGTGGGATAGGCTGGGGAGCATGGCAGGGGCAGCTGCCCTGCCCTGTTTGTGGTCCCCAACCTCAGGCCAGAGGCATCATCAGCGACTCCTTTGAGGCTGGGTGGGCTCACCCTGAGGAGGGGCCTCTGGGCAAAAACAGGGCTCAGGTGCATCTAAGCTGAGGGGCACAGCTGCCGGGGCCCTGCTGAGGGTGCTCGGCCTTGCCTTGGCTTCCATGAGTCTTTAGCGCTCCTGGCCTAAGGAGGGATCCGATAAGGGTGGGCTCAGGCCAGAAGCCAAATGCACCAACCCCAGGCAGGACCCTCCTCCAATGAACTTGACTTGGGTGCGTCATTCCAACAGCCGGGCAGAGCCTGTTACCGCCTGGGATGGCGTCCCCTGTTCACTGGGGTCTTGGCCTCAGGTCTGCTGCCTCCTGGCCGAAGAGTTACTCAGTGCGGGGTCGTCCTGCCCCAGCCTCCCCACCCGAAGCCTCCATCAGTTTCAGAGTAAAAGGGATGGGCTCTTCCTGTGGTTCCCTCTGGCTGCGTTGCGCTAACTTTAGAGTTCCCTGCCTGCTTCTCCCAGAGCTGGCAGGTGTGTGTTTGCCTGCTGGGAAAAGGGTGGTGAGGCAGCTTTGTGGCCAGGTCCCCTGGGGAAGCCCCTGCCTGATGCACTCTAGCTGAGTGTTCCCATGACCGGCACAACAGTGCAGGGGAAGGCAGGTGTAGGGGATACCCGGGTTTATGTGGTGGGGGGGACAGGCCTCTGCCAACTGTCTCCCCAGGCAGCTGCTTTCAGCCTTAGCAGAGGACACACCTGTGGTGCAGTTGGCAGCTGAGACCCCAGGAGCAGAGAGCAAGGTAAGGGTGCCTGTGTGGGTGCCTGTGCGCCTGGCCTGCTTCTGGGGAAGAGCAGCAAGCAGTGGAAGGCCCCAGCAATCTTGGGTGGTGGGCGGGATGTCCCGCTGCCCTGGCCCACAGGTCTACTTCCACAAGCTTGTAGGAGAGACAGAGCCCCACCTCCGGTACCTTGACTGCACTGCACAGGGTGACTCTCACCTTTCCTCTAGGAGAGAGCCTCAGACTCTGCTAGCACCTCGCTTCCCATGGGCTGTCCGGACAGTGAGCCAGTGCCCACCCATCAGCAGGGGCAGCCTGCCTTGGAGCTGAGAGAGGAGCACTTCAGAGACCCCGCTGAGGGTATGTTGCCTGGCACAGCCGCACGTACATTGAGTCGCCTGTGTCAGCAGGTGGTCATTCCGCAGGCAGGTGTCCCCGACTTTGAATGACTCAAGCACAAAGTTTTGGTTTCTCAAAAGTTAGGCACCATTAGAACAGGGCTGATGCCTTTAACATAAGAGACTTCTAGGAATGGAAATTGTGGACTCAGGAAAAGGAGCAGAAAGTGTGAACAAGGCAGTGCACGGGTGAGATACAGATGCAGAATCAGCACCTGGGCCTCCTGATCATCAGACATACTGCCGGAAACAAAAGCCTTTTTTAAATTGTTTTATTTTATTTATTTATTTATTTTGAGACAGTGTTCCTCTGTCACCCAGGCTGGAGTGCAGTGGTGAAATCTCAGTTCACTGCAACCTCCACTTCCCAGGTTCAAGAGATTCTCCTGCTCAGCCTCCTGAGTAGCTGGAATTACAGGCACGTACCACCACATCCAGCTAATTTTTGTATTTTTAGTAAAGAGAGGGTTTCACTATGTCGGCCAGGCTGGTCTCAGACTCCTGGCCTCAAGGGATCCACCCACCATGGCCTCCCAAAGTGCTGGGATTGCAAGCATGAGCCACCACACCCACCTCAGCCTCCCAAAGAGATGGTGAAACTCCATCTCTACTAAAAATACAAACATTAGCTGGGGGATTATGGCGTGTGCCTGTAATCCCAGCTACTTGGGAGACTGAGGCAAGCTTGAACCAGGGAGTCAGAGGTTGCAATGATCCGAGATCGTGCCACTGCACTCCAGCCTAGCCACAGAGCAAGACTCCATCTCAAAAATCAATCAATAAATAAAATCTCAATTGGAGAGCCTAAAACCCAGGCACGCATGCCAGGCACGGTGGCTCACGCCTGTAATCCCAACACTTTGGGAGACCGAGGTGGGCGGATCACAAGGTCAACAGATCAAGACCATCCTGGCCAACATGATGAAACTCTGTCTCTACTAAAAACGCAAAAACTGATCTAATATTGACAGTGGAGTGTTTTAAAAAAAGGAAAAAAAAACACAAAAATTAGCTGGGTGTGGTGGTGTGCACCTGTAGTCCCAGCTACTCAGGAGGCTGAGGCAGGAGAGTCGCTTGAACCCGGGAGGTGGAGGTTGCAGTGACCGAGATCATACCACTGCACTCCAGCCTGGCCACAGAGCAAGACTCCGTCTCAAAAAGAAAAGCCCAGGCACGCAGAAAACTGAAGTAACGTGTAGGGATGTTGGCTCGGCTGGGTTGGGCCTGTCGCCCTCGCGTGGGATCCCTGGAATCACACAGCGTGGCCTTCCCTGTCCGGCCTCACCCTCCGGGCAGTGTGTTTTCATGACCCGGCCTTGCTGGAGCAGGTATTGGTGCTCACGTCCTTGCTGTGGCTGCAGACTTCCTGTCTTTATTCATTCATTCATGGGTTTGGTGGTTTCTGCCTCTTAGCTGTCAAGAGTAGCACTGCCATGAATGTTCAGGTGTAAGTTCTGTGTGGACGCGTACTTCCGTTTCTCCTGGATGGGTAGCTAGAAGTGGAGTCACTGGTCACGGGAACTCTGCTTGCCTCTCAGCTGCTGGGTGGCTTACCAGAGTAGCCGCAGCGTTTCGCGTTCCGCCAGCCATATAGGAGGGTCCGGTGTCCGCAGCCTCAGCAGCGCTGTGTGTTGTGTCTTGTGGATCCTGGACCTCCTCGTGGGTAGGAAGCAGGCCTAGTGGTGGTTTTAATCTGCGGTTTCCGGGTGGCTCACGACATCCAAGCGTCTTTTTGCGTGCTGTTGGATATCTTTGAGAAAATGTCTGCTGAGATTCCTTGCCCATTGGGCCACTTATCTTTTCATTACTGAGTTTTATGAGATAAATTCCTTTCACTTAAGAAATGAAGAAAAGGAAAAAAAAAGCCCCTCATCAGATAATGTTTGAAAGTACTAGCTTTTGGCCAGGCACAGGGGCCCGCACTTGTGGTCCCAGCATTTGGGAGGCCAAGGCAGGAGGATCGTAAGACTGACCTTGGCAACATGGCAAGACCAGATCTCTACCCGAAAAAGACGTAAGGAGCTGGGCATGGTGGCACACGCCTGTAGTCCCAGCTACATGGGAGGCTGAGGTGGGAGGCACGATTGAGCCAGGAGGTCCAGGCTGCGGTGAGCCGTGATGGCACCACTGCACTCCAGTCTGGGTGACAGTGAGACCCTGTCTGAAGGAAAGGGGAAAACAGGGGCAGAAGTGAAAACTGACAACAAAGCTATCTGTAGCAGAGAAGACCTACAAGTCTTTTCTAGACCAAATAATTGGCAACCGTTTTTTAGCTTAGTTGAAAAAAGGAAAGAATGAGCAAAGAAATACTACTAGGTGTGAAGAGAGGGACAGAACTAGAGATACCCCGGCCTGGATCTCAGCCAGAGGGAGACCCGGCCTTTTTTTTAATGAGACAAGAGTTTCGCTCTTTGTTGCCCAGGCAGGAGCACAGTTTAAGCAATCCTCCTGCCCCAGCCTCCTGAGTAGCAGGGATTACAGGTGCGTGCCACTCGCTCAGCTCATTTATTTTGGGCTAATTTTTGTTTCTCGTAGAGACAGGTTTCACCATGCTGGCCAGGCTGGTCTCAAACTCCTGAGCTCAGGTGATCCACCCTCCTTGGCCTCCCAAAGTTCTGGGATTGCAGGCACGAGCCACTGTGCCCGGCCAAAGTTTAAGACTTTTAGAGGCTGATGCTAGAGGATTGCTTTTAGCTAGGTCAAGACAGCCCTGGCAATGTAGCAAGACTCCTCCACTACCAAAAAAACTAGTATGTCTGAGATAGTTTTCGCCTTCAGTTAGGTTTTTTATCCACTTTTGAGTTCATCTTTGTATATGGTATGAGGCACTTTTTTTTTTTTTGAGATGGAGTTTGTCTCTTGTTGCCCAGGCTGGAGTGCAGTGGTGCGACTTCTGCTGGCTGTGACCTCTGCCTCCCGGGTTCAAGCAATTCTCCTGCCTCAGCCTCCCAAGAAGCTGGGATTACAGGCACACACCACCATGCTCAGCTAATTTTTTGTATTTTTAGTAGAGATGGGGTTTCTCCATGTTGGCCAGGCTGGTCTTGATCTCCCAACAGCCTCAGATGATCCACCCACCTCAGCCTCCCAAAACGCTGGGATTACAGGTGTGTGCACCACCTCGCCTGGCTAATTTTTGTATTTTTTGTGGAGACAAGGTTTTGCCCTGTTAGACTCCTAGGCTCAGGTGATCTGCCCGCCTCAGCCTCTACCCTTAGGGGATTTTGTTATCATTGCTTTGCTTTTTTAAAGGAGTCTTGCTCTGTCACCACGCTGGAGTGCAGTGGTGCAATCTCAGCTCACTGCAGCGTTTGCCTCCCGGATTCAAGCAAGTCCCCTGCCTCAGCCTCCCGAGCAGTTGGGGCTACAGGCATGAGCCACCACACCTGATTTTTGTATTTTTAATAGAGACAGTTTCACCACATTGGTCAGGCTGGTCTCGAACTCCTGACCTCAGGTGATCTGCCTGCCTCAGCCTCCCACAGTGCTGGGATTACAGGCGTGAGCCACCACACCTGGCCCACTCTTAACGTTTTTTAACCAAAGGTTATATTATCAAAAATTAAAAGATTTGTCTAGGGTAATCTTAAAGACTAGAATTGTTTCAACCAGAGCAGTTTTGCCCCCTCCTTCCCCTAGATGCTTTGGTTGTCATACCTGGGGGTGCTGCTGGCACGGAGTGGGTGGGGGCTGGGGATGCTGCATGGCACCCTGCAGTGCCCAGGACACACCTGCCAGTGAGCAGTCAGGCCTGGAACACGGGCACCTCCGAGGAGGAAGTCCTCCTGTGCTGCAGAGGACCTTGGCCTGGGTCTCAGTGAGACACTGCTGGCTGGAATGCTGCTTTATTCGATAAGGAACCATGGTCCTGCCTCACTGAGTCCGTTAGCCCTTGGGGCCCTGGTGTGGGGCGGTGACAGTGCTGTGACTTGTGCCCTCTCAGTTCTAGGCACAGGGGCAGAGGTGGATTACCTGGAGCAGTTTGGAGCTTCCTCGGTAGGTACTGGGCAGCTCTGCGAAGCCTCCCCTGCAGGGTGTGCTGAGGGCAGCCCCGACAGCTCTTCACCCTGGAACGTCCCCTGGTGCCCATGTTCCCCCAGCTGCACATGGGCCCTGGCCCTTCTGCTGCATCTCTAAGTGGAGTCCTATGGTTGTGGCCAGGCCCTCCCCCAGCACTTGCCTGGGATGAACTCTGACACCGTGCTGCTAGGAATGCAGGGCTTCGGGTGGGGTTGCGGTGACCAGAGGTGGGAGTATGTGTGTGACCTCCCTGGCCCTAGCCCCAACGTCTGTGCTAGGGGACGGCAGTCAGACCTGCTCAGTTGCCCTCTTGTCCCCAGTTTAAGGAGTCGGCCTTGAGGAAGCAGTCCTTATACCTCAAGTTTGACCCTCTCCTGAAGGACAGTCCTCAAAGACCAGGGCCCGTGGCCACAGAGACCAGCAGGTACGCAAGCCAGCCCTCCCCGGGCATGAAGTCTTGGGTGTAGGGGGACGGGAGGCTGTTCCTATGTGTGCTGTCTGCAGAGGCTTCTAGACCAGGGTGAGATGACCTGAACTAGAAAAGAGGCGTGGTGAGGAGCGGGCAGGGCGGCGAGCCCAGAGCAGCAGCCTCGTGTGGCAGGGGCCACATCAGCCCAGTGGGAGTGACAGCAGCCGCCCTCCAGTCACAGAGCTACTGCCTTGCTGGTTACAGCCACCTGCCAGGTGGATTAAAGAGCTAAACTTAAATGTTTTTAATGTAGCTCCTCTAAAGCAGAAGTCAGCAAACGATGACCTGTAGGCCAGACTTGGCACCTGTTTGTGTACATAAAGTTGTCACAGAACCATGCCCATCCCTTTGAAAATTGTGGCAACTTTCACACTACAAGGGCAGAACCAAGTAGTATGACAGAGGCCTGACACGGCCTGGCCAGTGGCTCACACCGGTAATCCCAGCACTCTGAGGCCGAGGCAGGCAGATCACAAGGCCAGGATTTCAGCACCAGTCCGGCCAACATGGTGAATCCCCATCTCTACTAAAAATACAAAACTTAGCTGAGCACGGTGACGGGTGCCTGTAGTCCCAGCTACTCGGGAGGCTGAGGCAGGAAGATTGCTTGAGCCTGGGAGGCGGAGGTTGCAGTGAGCCGAGATCACGCCATTGCACTCCCATCTGGGCGACAGAGTGAGACCCTGTCTCAAACAAAAAGAAAATGAGCCTCCAAGCTGTGAGGGCCCCCAGATGAGGCATCAGCGGCCCCACTCAGCCTGCAGTGGGTAAGGAAGCATCACAGCTCTCCAGAAGGATGATCCGCCTTGTGGATGGGGACGTGAGGGAAGGGCTTGGGGCAGCAGAGAGACCGGGCCTGCTGGACGTGGGCCTGCGTTTTCTGCCACCGTCCTGACTTGAGTGGTTTAAACTAAAAAGCAAAGAGCCCGGTTGGCTTGTCCGCATGGTCCTCTGTGTCCTGCTCAACACTGGGAGGGCCTGAGTGACCGAGGCTGCCTCCACTTGGCAGCAGCACGCACGGTGTGGAGGAGCCTCCCTCAGGAAGTCCGCGGGAAGCCACCCTTGTGGAGTTGGATTTCTTGGGAGCACTGGATGCTCCGGTAAGTACTTCAGTCCCTCTTGAACCATCCACCTTGTGGTCTGAGGAGGCAGGTTGTTTTAGGGCCTATATTTCCTATTCCTGGGGGTCTGAAGCCTTTGGCTCTGTCATGGGTCCCCCACTGCACTGTCTGAGGCTCTTCCCTCCCTCACACCAGGTCAGAGGTACGAGAGGCAAGGGTGAAATGGGCTCATGGTTCATCCCCATCTCCCACAGGTTCCAGACCCACCCCCAGGTGTCCCTGCACCTGGCGGCCCACCCCTGTCCACCGGGCCTATAGTGGACCTGCTGCAGTACAGCCAGAAGGACCTGGACACGGCGGTAAGGACACAGGTGGTGGCTACTCCACAGAACCTGCAGGCCACTCGGGCTTGGCCAACAGCAGGCACAGGTGGGGTCCAGTGGCCTGACCAGCTGTCCCCGCCATCCCTGCCCCTGCTGGTTGGGGTGGCATTGCAGAGAGCTGCTGACCCCTGGCCTGTCACTGCTGCCCAGGTCACTGAGGCTCCAAGCTTCCACCCAGTGTCCCCACAGCCAGCTGCCCACCGGCTGCCTCCACAGGGCTCTCCAGCCTGAGCGTGTCATTCACCCCAGCAACCTCTCGCTGCGTTAAAGCTGAGTGCTGCCCCTTCCTGCTGCCCTTCCACAAGTCCAGACGCATCTCTGGGCAGCTTAGGAAGCGCCATCTCCACCCGCCCACATCTGAGGGTCCCCTGCCCGTCTCCCTCTATCCTCCCATACACGCCAGGCTTCAGCCCGTCCTAACTCCAGGTCTAAGTTGTCCCTACGAGAGCTGTGGGCACCACTGTGAGCCAGATAATCCCTGGGGAGGTGGGGACAGGGTGGCTCCGGACGCTGGCGGCAGGGCTGGGCACGAGCCCCCACATCTGAACCAGTGTCGGTCACGGCAACCCCAGGTGTCATCTTGGGCCTGTGACACGATCCTGACCCGGTTCCCCAACACCCCCTTCCTGGTGTTGGAGCCCATGCCGTAACCCCAGAGCAGGCTTAAGGACCACAGCGTGGCCAGCCCTCCCCTCTGCGGGCCTGGGCTCCCCATGCAGGTGGCCCCTGGGGGGTGGACGCAGGGACACACACCCGCTGGGCGCCTGCTGGTTCTACCCAGGAGCACAGCCCACAGCCCCATGCCTCCTGCCCCCTGGCGACTGAGCACATGTGGAGCAGGCAGCCTTAGCGTCAGTGGGGCTCCCAGGGTCCCGCTGAAGGCCCACATGGAACTGCGGCTCTGGACATTGCTCCAGGGACGTCGGGGTGGGCCGGCCCCACGCTGTGGGGAGGTCCTGGGAGGGGTGTCCAGCCCGCCTGCCTGCTGACTCAGGTGTGGCCTGAGCAGGTGAAGGCGGCACAGGAGGAGAACCAGGAGCTGAGGAGCAGGTGTGAGGAGCTCCAGAGGAAGAACGTGGAGCTGGGGTAAGGAGGCCCCGCCTGCCCCTGTCCCCACCCGGCCTGGGGCTGCGGCGCATCTGAGGCCATGGATGTGTCTGCTCGCCTCCCACAGGGTGATCATGGACAGGTTCGAGGAGGTCACATACCAGGTCATGGGTAAGTGCCAGGCCACCGAGGACATGAGGGGCTGCCTGCACCTCAGCCATGCCCTGCCCCGCACGCTGCCTAGGGCCCCACTCTCCTGAGGCCACTCTTCCTAACCCACAAGGCCCTTCAACATGGCCCAGCCATGGAACCACGAGGCAAGCTGGGGGGAAGCTGGCGGTCGGTCAGTGCAGCTCACGGATCCACAGAGCCAGCCTTCCTCAGACCCCAAATCTGTGCAGATGCTGAGCTAGCAGCAGGGCTGGGGTGGGGGCAGATGCCACCCCACACCTGCTCACACCTGTTGCCCTCCTCTCCTCCTGGAGGCTCACACCTGCTGCCCTCCCCTCCTCCTGGAGGCTCACACCTGCTGCCCTCCCCTCCTCCTGGAGGCTCACACCTGCTGCCCTCCCCTCCTCCTGGAGGCTCACACCTGCTGCCCTCCCCTCCTCCTGGAGGCTCACACCTGCTGCCCTCCCCTCCTCCTGGAGGCTCACACCTGCTGCCCTCCCCTCCTCCTGGAGGCTCACACCTGCTGCCCTCCCCTCCTCCTGGAGGCTCACACCTGCTGCCCTCCCCTCCTCCTGGAGGCTCACACCTGCTGCCCTCCCCTCCTCCTGGAGGCTCACACCTGCTGCCCTCCCCTCCTCCTGGAGGCTCACACCTGCTGCCCTCCCCTCCTCCTGGAGGCTCACACCTGCTGCCCTCCTCTCCTCCTGGAGGCTCACACCGCTTCCCCCTCCTCCTGTCCTGGAGGCTCACACCGCTTCCCCCTCCTCCTGTCCTGGAGGCTCACACCTGCTGCCCTCCTCTCCTCCTGGAGGCTCACACCTGCTGCCCTCCCCTCCTCCTGGAGGCTCACACCTGCTGCCCTCCCCTCCTCCTGGAGGCTCACACCGCTTCCCCCTCCTCCTGGAGGCTCACACCTGCCGCCCTCCTCTCCTCCTGGAGGCTCACACCTGCCGCCCTCCCCTCCTCCTGGAGGCTCACACCTGCCGCCCTCCCCTCCTCCTGGAGGCTCACACCTGCCGCCCTCCCCTCCTCCTGGAGGCTCACACCTGCCGCCCTCCCCTCCTCCTGGAGGCTCACACCTGCCGCCCTCCCCTCCTCCTGGAGGCTCACACCTGCCGCCCTCCCCTCCTCCTGGAGGCTCACACCTGCCGCCCTCCCCTCCTCCTGGAGGCTCACACCCGCCTCCCTCCTCTCCTCCTGGAGGCTCACACCCGCCGCCCTCCTCTCCTGGAGGCTCACACCCGCCGCCCTCCTCTCCTCCTGGAGGCTCACACCCGCCTCCCTCCTCTCCTCCTGGAGGCTCACACCCGCCGCCCTCCTCTCCTGGAGGCTCACACCCGCCGCCCTCCTCTCCTGGAGGCTCACACCCGCCTCCCTCCTCTCCTCCTGGAGGCTCACACCTGCCGCCCTCCTCTCCTCCTGGAGGCTCACACCCGCCTCCCTCCTCTCCTCCTGGAGGCTCACACCTGTTGCCCTCCTCTCCTGGAGGCTCACACCCGCCTCCCCCTCCTCCTCTCCTGGAGGCTCACACCCGCCTCCCCCCTCCTCTCCTGGAGGCTCACACCCGCCTCCCCCTCCTCTCCTGGAGGCTCACACCCGCCTCCCCCTCCTCTCATGGAGGCTCACACCGCTTCCCCCTCCTCCTCTCCTGGAGGCTCACACCGCTTCCCCCTCCTCCTCTCCTGGAGGCTCACACCGCTTCCCCCTCCTCCTCTCCTGGAGGCTCACACCCGCCTCCCCCTCCTGTCCTGGAGGCTCACACCGCCTCCCCCTCCTCCTGTCCTGGCACTGGAGCCCCTTGCCGCATTCCTGGGGCTGTGTTGGCACTCTGTGTTTCAGTCTCCGCCTCCTGAACGTTTGCTTTTCATTTCTCAAGAGGAGGTTCAGAAACAGAAGGAACTTGCCAAAGCCGACATCCAGAAAGTTCTACAAGAAAAAGACCAGCTGACTGCAGATCTGAACTCCATGGAGAAGTCCTTCTCTGACCTCTTCAAACGCTTTGAGAAACAGAAGGAGGTGATTGAGGGCTACCGCAAGGTACGTCCCCGCCACCCGGTGTCCTCCCCGCAGAGGCTGGCAGGCTCACGGGCCAGGCCAGCGGGGCTGCCAGGTGCTGTCTTTGCACCTCTGTTCTTGGCCGAGCCTCCCCTTGTCACTCGGGCCTGGGTAACTTGTGAAGACGCAGGTGCAGGAGTCACAGCCTAGCCGGTTTGCAGAAGGCCAGGTGAGCGGGAGGCCGTCTGAGTTCCTGCCGCCGTGTGAAGGATGACTTGGCTGTGACTGAGTGCCTGTGAGATGCGAGACTGCGTGGGTGCACCGGGGTATGGGGCATCTCGGAAAGGGAGTCAAGCCTGGGCTGTTACAGCGCGACCTGGGCATGTGTATCCCAGGCAGGAGGCCCACACAAAGGTGGGCACACTGTGCCAGGCTACCCCAGTGTCCTGGCCGCAGGCCTCTGAGCCCCCTCCGCCTTCTGTGCTGGGCAAGGCCCACAGGCTTGCTGGAAGGAGGGATGTCTGGGCCACCCATCTGCCCGGAGCAGACCTGGGAGGGGCTGCGAGGCCGCCAGACGCTTCTGCCCTCAGCAGCAGAGTTGGAGCGGAGGTGCTCACCGCCTGCTGTCAGGAGCTGGGCCTGTGGGCACACCTGGAAGAGGGGCTGACAGTGGGGCTGCAAGGGGTTGGGGATGCCAGATGGGGGCCCTGGAAGTTGAACTCGGCTAGAACAGGGGCCCTTGTGGGGCCTGGCTGAGCCACACCTTCTCTCAGTCCTGATGTCAGGTAGGCGCCAGTGGCCGGGGCACAGCTGCCTAAGAGAAGCAGCCTGGAAAACTAGGAAAGAACCTACGGAAAACCACATCTTCCACCTTCAATTGCTGCTACAGAGTTTTAGATCAGTATCTGGCACAGAATCACTAGGTATGAAAGAAACAGGAAAGGTGATTGAAGATCAGAACCAGCTATTAGGGTGAGGCATGGTGATGTATGCCTGTGGTCCCAGCGACTCAGGAGGCTGAGGTGGGAGGACCACTTGGCCCAGGAGGCCGAGGCTGCAGTGAGCTGTGATTAGATCCCTTCACTCCAGCCTGGGCAATAGACCCAGACCCCCGTGTCTAAAATAAAATAAAAAAAAAAATGTTTAGACCCACGGGATTGCCAGGCGTTGGAGCTGGCGGCAGAGTGCCCACCGCAGGGGTGGGCCCCTCACATGGTGCCACTGGCTTGAGGACACAGCAGCTTCACTGGCCTTCCCTCAGCTTGGGCTGTGCTCCGAGCTGCTGTCCTGGCCTCGCCTCTCCCCGGGGCAGGCCTGCGCCTCCATTCCCGCCGGCCACCTCCCCACTTTCTCATGGAGGCCTCTTTGTACATCTAAACCCATCATGGAGGACCCAGTGCAGACTCAGACTTGAAGGTAACTGTCTTCCATGTTCAGAAGAGCATTGCCGGGCTCGCTTCGGCGCATAGAAGAAAATCGGGGCCGGGCGCGGTGGCTCACGCCTGTAATCCCAGCACTTTGGGGGGCCGAGGCGGGTGGATCACAAGGTCAAGAGATCGAGACCATCCTGGTGGGCACGCGCCACTGTGCCCAGCTAATTTTTTGTATTTTTAGTAGAGACGGGGTTTCACCTTGTTGACCAGGGTGGTCTTGATATCTTGACCTCGTGATCCACCCCCGGCCTCCCAAAGTGCTGGGATTACAGGTGTGAGCCACCGTGCCCTGCGAGGGGATATTTTTAAAGGAAAACTGGAGGTGCTGCCTCATGACTGGTGACCCACAGGTCCCTGGACACCAAGCCTGGGTGCTCTCGCAGATCATGTGGTGCCCACAGCTAATGCCTGCCCCTTCCTAGAATGAAGAGTCACTAAAGAAGTGTGCAGAGGATTACCTGGTGAGGGTCACCCAGGCAGGCCAGAGGTACCAGGCCCTGAAGGCCCACGCCGAGGAGAAGCTGCAGCTGTGAGTGTTGGGCCCACAGAGGGAAGAGTCTGGGCACCTGGGCCCAGCTCAGCTTCTGCCCTGCCCCTGCTCCTCCTCCTCCAGGGCAAACGAGGAGATCGCCCAGGTCCGGAGCAAGGCCCAGGCGGAAGCATTGGCCCTCCAGGCCAGCCTGAGGAAGGAGCAGATGCGGGTCCAGTCACTGGAGAGGACCGTGGAGGAGAAGGTGGGTGCGGGGAGCCTGGCCCATGGGGCCCTGTGGCAGCAGCTTCTGGAAGGCCCCTGGGCCTGCTGCTCCCTCCCTAACTCATCTTCCTCCTCCAGACTAAAGAGAATGAGGAGCTGACCAGGATCTGTGACGACCTCATCTCCAAGATGGCGAAGATCTGACCCAGAGCTGCAGCCCCTCCTGTCTGTCCGTCTGTCCAGTTCTTTTAGGTGTCGTTTTCTTGTTCTGTCTAAAGCTAGATTGCTTTGAAAAGATGACTAAATAAAGTTTCCTTTTGGTGTAAACTGAAGCTGCTCTGGTCTCAGTGAAGCAAAGGGTTCTCTGCTCGGCCTCAGGCAGGGACCGCCAGTGGCTGGAGGCGGCTCAGGCCTGCCCAGTCTACCCCTGCCAACTTGGGTCAGCCACACAGTTCTGGCATCAAGTGCACCCATCAGTCCAGACAGACAAAAACCGTGAACAGCCAGGCGTGTGTGATGCTGGAGCCGCCCTGGAGAGCCTCAGCCCCAGCTAGCTGCGCCTCACCTCGGTGTGGGTGCGGAGGGAGGCCCCTGCGGTGCAGCCGCTCAGCTCCCATCAGCCTTCAGAGCAAAGCCGGCTTCCCTGAGGAAGTCCCGTCTCCAGATGGCAGGGTTTCCTCCCCAACCCCCAGCCCCATCTCCAGCAGCCCCGTCCTGCAGGTCTCACACTTGCACAGGTGCACTGGAGCTCAGGCCACTTCCAGGAGCCCTGGCAGAGTCTCCGCCCAGCTGGGGAACCCCAGGAACTCTGGGCACAGAGCTGAGAGATGCTGGCTGCCAGGTTCAGCCATGGCACCTAGGACCCTAGCACGAACCAGAGGGCCAGGACCTCCTAGGGCTGGGTGGGACTGAGAGTGACCGGCAGCTGGTGGTGCTGCTGTGTCAGAAATCCCCACACAGAGGGACTCAGGCCTACATCTGGCTGCAGGAGTGTCTGAGCCCGGGGGTCCCAGTCCCAGGACCTGTTCCCAAGGCTCTGTAAGCTGCCCTGTAGGCCTGGTGAGCAGCAGCCCAGGACTGGCCCTCGGTTGGGCACAACATCACTCCCAGCCACCGCCAGGGGTCGCTGCCACCACAGACCACGCAGGGACCGGACCAGGTGAGTGACACTCTGGAGGGCGGGGCCGGGGTGCTGGGAAGCCACGTGGACCGCCAGGGAGGCTGAGGAGCAGGCGGGGCTTCAGCCTGGGTGGCCACTGGGGTGTCCCCCGGGTGGGGAGGTGGGTTCTTGCATATTTGGAGGAGGGACCCTGGCACAGGGACAGAAGGCCACAGCAGCAATGGCCAGGCATGGCTGGGGCACAGACTGGATGGGCCTCAGAGGGCTCTGGGAGCCATTCCTCTCTCCCGCCATGGCCACCCATGCTCATGCAGCACCTCCTGACGGCCTCATGGGACCATCGCACCCCTCCTCTCCCCAGCAGGGACCCCCCCCATCTCAGCCCTGAGCCTGGGTGACGATAGGGGGCAGTCCTTGGCTGAGAGCCTCTGAGGGCCTGCCACGGCCACTGCACAGACAAGACACTGAGGCACAGGCCAGTGACCATTGGCTGGGGGAGGTGGGCCAAGCACAGGGTGAGGTTCCCTCTCCTGCTCAGGGCTGAGGATATGGGGGAGCAGCAGGGCCCTGGAGCCTCCAGAGGTCACCAGCTGCCTCCCCACTGCCACAGGCACGTCCGGCCTCAGGGCTCCCAGCTCCCTCTGCAGGGTCAGGTCTGCTCTGCTGAGGTCTCAGGACACGGGGCAGCTGCCAGGTCCTCCTCAGCCCTGCCGCTCTGGCCTCCTGGCTCCTCCGACAGCTGCCCAGGGCCCTGTCCCCCACTGGGGCCTCTCTGAGCCAAGCCTGGAGCCTGCTCTGAGAAGGCCATGTGGGGCAGCTGGACGTGTCGGGGCAGCCGGCCGGGCCTGGGGCTGCGCCGAGGACACCGGCCACCGGGCAGCGTCCTGGGCTGGGAGCCTCTTTCCCAGGACAAAGGGACCTTGTGTGGCTGAATGGGTGTTTATCCTGGAGCCTGAGTTAACTCAGGGCTGCGAGGCCGGGTGGGGGCCCTGGCAGTGGCCTGCCTGGTAAACATGACCTGAGCTGGGCATGCAGCCGTGGCCTGGACTTCCGCAGCCCGGACCCCTGCACGGCCACGAAGTCGCCCTGTGGGCCTTCCGCCAGGACGGGGGCTCAAGGAAACAGGAGCTGCCCTGGGATGGCCTCTGTGGGAGTCCTCATGCACAGTCCTGGAGGCAGCGCTCAGCTGGCTCTGCCCTTCCCACAGCTCAGGGCAGGGCTCAGAATCACTCCCAATGTGCCCCACTGAAGGGAGGGGTGAGGGTTAGGTGAGGTTGTGAGGGTGAGGCCCTGGTCTGCTGGGATTAGTGTCCTTTCGGGAAGAAGGCGGACCGGGACAGTACTTTGGAGGCACCGACCCGCCAGCACCCTGATCACGGACCTGGCACTTCCAGAACGTGGAGAAACGCGTGTCTGTGGTGCAAGCCGGCTGGTCTCAGGCAGGACGAGACCCCGTCATCCAAGGGGCTGCCCAGCCTGATGCCCACCCACTGCCCAGCTGCCCCTGCAGCCAATATCCGAATCCCAAGGGCAGAGCAGGGTTCAGCCCCACGTGGAGAAGCCAGGTCTGTGAAGCACCCCCGCCCCTCTATCCCTAGGAGTAGAGTCCGCAGCTACCTCCCTGGGCTGGTCAAGATCCTTTCAACAGGGTCGGTGGAGCCACATCGCCAAGCTGACTCCCACGCTCCCGCTCCCCAGGGCTCGCAGGCCACGGGGCTAGATGGAAGAGAGGGTGGGCGGAGAAGGAGATAGGTCAGGACAGGCTGAGCACAGCCCGAGCGTTCCCTGCCAGGTCCTCGCTGTGGCCATCACCCTGCCCTGGCCAACCTGAGTACACCAGCCCCCAGGCAGACTCAGGTCACCCTCCCATGGGCTAGGGGGCTGTCCCCAGTCCAGGCTGAACCCCAGACCCCTCTAGGTCCCTCAAGGTCCACGGCAGTGAGGGTCACTACAAGCCCAAGTGGGTGCCAGAGGTCCCTCCTCCAGCCCATCACTCCACCTTCTGGGAAGGACGCCAGGGTCGGCACTCAAGCCCAGGCTCCGGGCTGCCCTACTGGGCTGAGCAAATGTCCTTTGTCTCTCTTCTGGAGGTCTGCAGGGCAGGAGCACTTTGGGGGAAAGCCCTGTCCCCACAGGGCTGGGGCTGGACGAAGTCGGAGGAGGGCTTCTGCCTGAGCCTGGGCCTTCTTTGGGGTGCACTCAAGTAGCAGGGTTCTCACCGCCTGTGCGGTGGTTGGAGGGGTTGAACCTGTGTGCCCTGGCTGCCCCGGTGGTCTGGGGAGCCCAACTCCTGGGGCTTCTGCCTGAGCCTCTGGGCCCCAGCAGCCTGCAGGGGGTGCCATTGGGCCACCGGAGCCCCTCCTGTGGACCTGGCGCAACAGCGCTCAGGCCCAGCCATCCCCACCGCCCCACGACCGGCCTCCAGGAGGGACCCCCACCCTGGGACGACGAGGAGCCACCTGGGCCTCCACCTGGCCTCCCCACAGGGTCTCCCCACTTGCCCCCTCCCCACCTCCTCCCTCCCCACCAGCCCCTCGCAACCAGCCTCCTCCCCACCTTGCCCCCTCCCCACCTGCACCCTCCTTACCTGCACCCTCCCCACTGTGCCCCCTGCCCACCATGCCCCCTTCCTACCAACCCCCTCCCCACCTCCTCCCCACTAGCCCCCTCCCCACTAGCCCTCCCTGCTGCTTTACCGCCCCTCTGTCCCCTGGACCCTGTGCACTCATCAGGCCCCTGGAGGTTTATGGAGGGCAGGGCTGGGGGCAGCACACCAGGCACCCTCACAGGCTGGGGATCTGGCCTAGCCTGGTAGGCGGACTGTAGGATGGGGGGTGAGGGCTTAGAGCCCCTGCTGGCGTCGGGGGTGGTGGGGCCCCTGCCCTGTGTCCCCTCTGTCCCCAAACCCCATTACACGTAAGGCCCCACCTGGCTGAGCTCACAGGGGGCTCCGGAGCCCACTCTGCAGAGAGAGAGGAGGGGGCGGGGGTGCACTTGTGTTTGCTTCTGAGGGAGACCGGGCTGAGCAGGGCTGTTAGTGAGACACTCAGGCCCGGGGGCTCCGGGCTCCCATGTGGGCCAGGGGCTACCTCAGCTCAGGAGTGGTGGCCCAACCACTAGGTGTGCAAAGGTCCCATGTCCATCCACACTTAAGAGACCTGGAATGTGAAAGGCACTCAGGCAGAGCCACGGTGTGGGCACCATCCTCAAGGGGGTGTCTGCAGAGGTGCACCGGTGTGGGCAGAGCCGGGGTGACCGTGAGCCCAAGGGGTTCCCAGAGGGAGTTTCTTTCCAGCCTGGGGATGGGTCCAGGGCAGTGCTGAGGAGGCCAAGCTGCCAGCATCCTATAGGGCCCAGCAGCAGAGGGGAGTGCGAATGGCTGGGCTTGTGCCCAGGACCCACCCCTGCCCCTGCATGCCCAGCAGCTGAGGCCACACCTCGCCTCGAGCATCCTGACAGCAGGGCCCACTTGGTGCCAGGCAGTCCCAGCTGGGGTGGGGTAGGGGCCATACAGCTGGCCCTGGGTAGATCTTCATCCCGACCCCCCACACCCACCCTGGAGCCATGTCTCCATCTGCCAAGGTGGGGGTAGAGAGAGAGAGGAGGGGGCAGAGCCCTGAGATTCAAAGGTTTCCCCACACACAGTCATTTGTTCACACATCAAACGTGTGCTGAGCGCAGTCTGTTCCCTGCACTGTTCCAGGTCCTGGGCATGGCGGGACCGACCAGTTGCAACAGCTTGTGAGAATCTTCTGGCTTGGGGTGGGGTGGGGAGCGGCAGTGAGAAGAAATCAGAAAACACACAGGTGCAGGCACACACACCCACTCCATGGAGCCTGTCGGCTGGTGACAAGGCCACGGCGGCTTGGAAGGTGAGGAGAAGAGGGAGTGGGGGTCTGGGGTGGGTTCCAGGTGCTGCCCTGTGGCCAGAGGGGTCCTGCTGCTCCCGTCAGTGTTCTCCCCGGCCACACATGGGGGATCACCCACCTCTGTCATGCTCTGCACCAGGGCCCCGACAAGTTCAAGGCCGGAGCAACAGGGCGGTTGGCCTGGTGGAGCCGGTCCCAGGCCTGCTCAGCCCAAGTTCCCGTGGTGCAGGGCTGCGTCGGAACTGGCTCAGCTCACAGGAGCAGATGGGAGCTACATCCGTCCTTCGAGGCCAGTGGCTAGGCCAGCTCTGTGCTCACTCTAGGACCGAAAGTGGCCCTGTGC